ACTCACAGCTGCTTCAGACCCCCGTAAATACACCCCAATAGCAATATCAATCACCGTCTATCATGTCCAACAGTAGCTACATCAACGCACTAGTACGCTCTCTCTACGAGGAGAGCCAGGAGCACAATGTTAGCACGTTAAGCAACACGCTACAACATCATGACCAATTTCCCACTAGCTAGAACACGCCAAACTGTAGCATCATGAACGGCCAAATACAAAAATCGAAAAGCATGACCATCAACCCCAATGGACGAGTAAGCTACAGTGACGAACCTTGTTCCATTGAATCCTGAGCCTCTAGCAAGATCTTGGCTGCCTGTTTCAACCGAGAAGAGATATGGATCGCATCATCAATCGGTGCTTCAAGGTGATGAGGAGAATTGAATGTTTTCAATTGGTCCTGCTTCATTCCAGCGTTTTCAACACGTATGATCTTTGTTTGTGGGAGCAGACAACGCTAATTTTCCAAACTAGAAACCAAAAATGAGCGCTCACATTCCAGTGAGCGAAGTGTTAAATGAGTCTGCTTTTAGAAACCAAAAATGGGCGCTAACATTCCAGTGAGCGAAGTGTTGAATAATTGTTTTTTAAAAAAATATCCTGATAAGAAGTGATGCTATCAACATGTCGTTGCGAAATGCTAATTACGAAAGTCATAATTTTAAAAACAAAAGTTGGCCTCTCAGACTCCAGTGAGCGAAATTTTGGCTTCGCATGGAACTACAGTATACTTCCCGCAACCTTTCGCAGGTCAATTTCGGACACCTGTTTCAACATAGTCTATTCCTGATCAGATTCATCTCATATTTTCAGAACTCATAAAACCAATAATATGCAGAACGCAAAGTCGGAAGTAATTGCAACCACAGCGAAGCCAAAGAAAAGAGTTACCTTCAACACAACCGTCAAAGGTCGTGGAGTCTTGAGTATTTACGATTACTCCCCCAGAGAGATCTCGGCAGCATGGTACAACGCTGAAGAGTTGATTGGAATTACCAAATCATGCTTTCGAATAATCGCGAGAATACAAAATGGTGCTAGAAACGGTAAGAAGTACTGTACTAGAGGTCTCGAAGGTCGCACCAGAATGGGTTATGCGATCCGAAAGAAGAGCAGAGGAGCTGCAATCTTGGCAGTTCTAAAGGAACAATCCGATCAGTGGATTGATGGGGGAGATGCCGACCCGGAAGCGATTGCGGAAGTCTACCGAAAGAAGACCAAAAGCGCTCTACTCTCGGCCCAATTCGTTGGTATGCGTGACCAACTGGCTGCCGATGCCATCCACCGCCATATCCCAAAGAAGATTGATAATATGGAAGAGATGATGACGAAAGGACGACCCGAGAAGCCCAACTTTGTTGGTTCCCAAAATGGAAGAAAGATGCTACCAATCAAAGAAGTGCAAAGCCTTCCTACCATTTATAATTTGCGGGTGGCATGATTGCCTATTCGTTTGTTTCCGAACAAATTATATAGAGAACAACGGAATAGAGCCAATAGTTCTTTCTACCGATAGTGTTTTTCGGATCAGTTTCGTTTTCGTTTGCTCTTCCATTTGATACTATTCCAATAGAAGAAATATACTATGTAGTCTCTCTGTGATTTGATTCCGATTCTCTTCTTTATGTTTTGTACATTGTGCTGCTCGAAATTCCTCCCAATGAGCCACTTTTTCTTTCTATCATTGCCTAGTAGGTTGTATATTTGATATGATTACAATAGTAGTAACTTATATAGTATGTAGTAGTCGTCTCTTTGTGTGATTGATTCCAATCCTTATCCTTTGCAGTGCTGACAGCTCCAATTGCTTGCGCTCATCTCCCATATCATTCATATGATTATACCCTCCTCCGTCCTTTTCTCAATAATTTCACAACTCCAATACCTAGGAACTTAGTTATTGATAAAGACAGAATCGCAGTGCTCTCGACAATAGCCGGGAAGTGCCCTTCGGACATCCGATCGTTCGTATAGCTCGTCCTGTGCAATTCCAATATCCTTAATGGTTCCATCGGGACACGTCAAGTCAATGTCGGTATAGAGACCAGAGCCACTGATACTGACAAACAAATCGGCCTGTACGCCATCGCAGTCATCGCAATACCACCACTTGTCATCCCCTGGTGGAAAGGGAACACAAGAAATGTATCGACATCCATGACAGGGGCTGGTACGACCATCCGAATCGGCTAATAGTCCGGTGGTAATCATAATGGCAATGACCGAGACAATGAGTCCCATGAATCGGAACAGAGTATTCTTGATATTGTCCATCTTGCTGGCACCCTGCGACAATCCAAAAAAGTTGACCGCCAACTTTTCAATGGTAGACAATCCACAGAGTAGTCCATATAGAAATCCTCCCAAATGTGTAAAGTTGTCCACAAAGGGTGTCAATCCAATCATGCAATTCAAAAAGATATCAAAGGCCAACCAAAAGAGGACCATCATGTGGCGCCAACGTTCCGTCTTGTCATTCATGCTTTTCAAAAAGAGCAAATTCCAATTGATGGAAATGTCCGCGACACAACCACCAATCAGTCCAAAGATTCCTCCCGAAGCTCCCACTGAAATATATTGTGGCAGACAAATGGCCGACAGGATATTTCCACCCACGGCCGGTACGACGAACAGTACTGCTGCAGAAGCATGTCCATGACTTTGTTCCACAGCACCACCAATGTAATACATGGCCGCCATGTTGAGCAAAAAGTGTACAAAACCAGCGTGCAACAAGATGGGAGATAGGAGACGATACCATTGACCTTCATTGACAATCAAGTCCGTGGACCGAGCACCCGTTTCCAAGAGAGCTTCCGAAGATGGTCCCAACAATGGATTAATGGCCAATGGTTCAAAGACCCAGTCATTGACACCCATGGTGACCAACATCATGATGGAACAAATGAGAATGACAGTATAGGTAAACCACGGTCGATTGTGATTGCCTCCTTTTCGTGTTTCTTCAAAGTCGGACCACGAGAGATAAGGTTCCTTGTTTTGACGGCGCCAGGCCGCATCTTCGGCCCATTCCAAGTCGGCACGGATATCACTCAAATGTTGATACAATCCAAGGATTCCCCAGGGTCTAGCATCGCCCTGTTTTTCGCGTCTCTTTTGTTGGGCCATTTTGAAATCCCGGACCCGGCGTTCGAGCGCGGGTGGAAGGGAAGATGCCGTTTCGTCCAACGAGACAATCAATTCCTTGACGGTGTACTTGCGATACTCGACCGACTCGTTGGAAGACGAGCGTTGGGGTGGTGGTGGCGTAGAAGATGCAGACGAACCAGTGCCATCGGAGTCCGCCTTGGCCGAAACCGTGCTGAAATTGGCATGATTCGTGCTAGACTTGTTCTTGTTTGTGTTCTTGTTCTTGTTTGCGGCAGTATTCATGCTCTTTGCTTTTTGGGCCAACGACTTGACGGATTGATTCATTTGATTGAACAAGGCGCTGCTCGTTTCGGTGATTTTGCTAGTCTTTGTTGTATTGCTGGAAGGAGGATCCAATGGACGCCCCCGGTGATCTCTCGCTTCTTCAATCATGATGGGGGAGTCTGCGCTTCCCATTCCTCGTTGTTTACTCCTGGTTTTGCTATTGGATGATGTTGATGGCGGCATTGTTGAGTGTTAATTGCTGTTTGCTATTTGCTATTTGCTATTTGCAATTTGCAATTTCGACTTGTATTGTATTGAACAGACAATCTCCTTTTCAGTGAAAGTCTTTGAATCGCTTTCACTCCAACCACAATCGTATTACCGAAACAAGAGTTGAGTTCAAAAGATGTAGTTCGGAAGGTGGGAGCCAAATAATTACCGGTAGGTGCTCCATGCTGAATACTGCTTGACGTGCGACACGGAAAGGCGGTCCAAAAATGACTTCTACTTAGACAACGGTTGGCTTTGTGACGGGATTAGGCATGACGGGCGTGGTATATTATTGTACAAGGTTGAAGAAAGTCGTATGTTCAGTGGTACCAATTCGACTAAAATGAGTCATTTCACATCTTGTCCAACGGATCACTAGCCGTTATTTGCACAGGCATGTTTTCTCCGTGATTTTGGGGGTGGAAAGTGAAATGTCCGACGTCATAGTGTCCGACTATGAAATAATGTCTTCGTGTGAAAACTTGACAAAAAAAGTGACGACAATGAGAATATTGATGGTTGTCAACGACAATTCATTCATTCATTTCTCCTGGTGCTGCTATCGCAACGGAATCAATCAATCCACTGCACCAAAATCTAGGTTTTCATGCAAGAGTTGCATGACATGTGACTGATATGTAGTAAAATATAGCTTTTGCATTCGCATATCATGACGGTATTCGTACACCTATTATAGCTAGCGATGATGATGCCTCTTGATCATGATACAGTTGTGATAGTGAGAACCATAGTAGCCCTTGCGTCTGTCAAAGAAAAAGAAATGCAAGGCAATATAGTGGAGCACCAAAGTTTCTACCGTCGGAAACACTTGTCATTGCATTGCTTTTTTTGTTTGATGTGGGAACTCCCTCGTTACTCGGCAACAACAACACCATCGTGATGCCACATTGCGCGGATCAAATCGATTGATGTTGTTGCACAGCAGAGAGAATTGTTGACCCTTACTTGTAACCCTAGACCTATGTAGTATTGGGGTACGTACACCAAAGGCTTCCGCCGTCGGATCCACTAACATGGTATCGATTGTGTTTTGTGGGAACTCACGACACAACAACAGGCCACAACTTAGTCGTTGGTCCTGGCTTCTGAACAGAGGCGGAATTTAGCACAGTACAGTACATGCATGCTGGGATCCCCAAGGTTTCCGCCGTCCCATACACTAGCATACTCATCGATGGTTGGAGTGGGAACTCTCACCTGTCAAAATGAATTGTTGATCTCCGCTCGTCTTTTAATACTATCGTTGAACCTAATAGAATCAATCAATCGATTTATGTTGCTAGTGAAGTGACAATTTTGTACACTGCGGTGCACCAAATGTTGCCGCTGTCCCAAGCACTAACATACTCATGGATTGTGGGAAGTGGGAACTCACCTGGCAAAGGAATTGTTGATCTCCGCTCGTCCTACTGAAACCTAATGGAATTGTGCATGAATTGTTGATCCGTACTTGTGCAGAAACAGTTGTGGAATACAATACAATAAAGGCCTGCCGCCGTCTCATACACTAACATAGTCATGATGATTTGAGTGGGAACTCAGCTGGCAACCTACCGTACCACTGCGCCGCTACTGTACTAGTATTGGCTGAGCTCCAGCAATCGTATTCCCGTGCTTGTGAAACGGGAACTGAGTAACAATATTCTTCCGCTTTCAGATACACCAACAAAGTGGTCCTGTTTCGAATGGGATCTGCAGAGTAAATAAAATGTTCATTTTATATACTGTAAGGTATCATGTACCGGTAGTCGTACTTTCTTGCTGATACGGTAGAATTTTGTACCGGAATTCTAACACACGAAAGGTCTATCTGCCGCCATCTTATCCACCAGCAAAGTTGTCCTTTTTCGAATGGGATCTCACTAACAACATCATGCTTCATTCGAAGTGTGCAAGTCGTTTTATTAAAATAGTTGTCTGCTCGAGTCTGATCGTAGTAGTGAACGTCTGGTCAAGAAGAATTGAGTAGTGGGTACACTAATCGACTGCCGCTGTCTCATCCACTAACAGAGTTGTCTTTTTCCGAATGGGATCTCCCTAACAACATGCCACAACCTCCTATTCTTGCCACAACAAGACAAAAAGTGCCGTAGTCGTCTGCTCAAGTCTGCTCTTGTGGTGAACGTCTGCTCAAGTAGAATTCGGTAGTAAGTACACTAAAAATCTGCCGCTGTCCCATCCACCATCAGAGTGGTCCTGTTTCGAATGGGATCACTAGATACAAGGTTGCACGATAGTGTTTTTAAAATCAATCGTACTGTACCCTTCGTACGAGGTGGTAGCTCTTGGTCCTGAGTTTTGGAGCGCCGATGACTGCCGCTGTCTTATGCACCAACAAAGTCAAACTTTTTTGGATGGGAGCTCTAGACACAAACCTGCCACATCTCCCACAACTCATCTACAGACCTCCTTTTTTACTAAATTCAACATCGTAGCCTTCTGATCAAGAAGCTCTAGACACGATCTGCCATCAACTCCAACACTTCCATCCTCGTTTTCAAGTTTTCGACGTCTTCATCTTCTGATCAAGAAGCTCTAAACTGAACGTGATGTTTCAATCCATTCATCATTCATACGCCGCCGACCTAAGTTTTAAAAGTTCAACATTCAACCTTCAACCTTGAACTTCGTGGTCTTCTGATCAAAAACTGCAGAAACAACTGTTGCCCCATAGAATATTGCACTGCACCAAGTCCTCCTTTTGGACTAAATTCAACAGCATCGTCTTCTGATCAAGAACACCAACCTGTGACGCTGTCAGATCCGCTAACAAAGTCAGCAATTTCCGAGTGGGATCAAGTTCTTTTTGGAACCGATGTAGTCGAAATAGTCGATCATACTGATGAATATGGACGCGATGCAAACCATCTCTCATCATGATGATAGCAGAGACAACATATTTGGTTAAAGTGGTGCTAAATAACTATAGATCAAAGTAGCTACAAGCTTTGTTACTTGTAGAACATGTTTGTGTTGCAGCCAGGTTGACATGAAACGTGATCAACAAGGACCGATTGACTCAATAGACCAAAGGTGCGATGGTGTCAGCGATCTTGAATCAATCAATCTGAATCATTAGAATACTCTTGATCGGATGGCGACTGACCGCGAACCTTCCATACTGTACACTGATATATTGACGAGCGTTTGCCATCTTGGGTCATCACACGAGTACGTTACGGTACCGTTGTACGGTACGGTACAGTTCAGTGCAGACCAAATAGAGATGACGTGAAAGACAACTTTCTAGGTCATCGGGAGATGCGGGAACACATCCAATTGTGGGAATCGCTACCGTGGGAACTCGAATCAAATTCGACCACGATGAGACCATTTAGCTGGACGAGTGTCCAAATTGTGATGGATCGAGCAAATCCAAATCCAAATCCATCGTGAAATGAAATAAAAGGAGGTGTACCAATCCCAATTCCGGTAGGTATCACGTACATTGTAATCTTGATCATCGACTTGTGGTCATGGCGGTGTAGAATTCTTCAAAACTAATGGTACCATCCATATCTCGGTCTACTTCGTCGGCCTGTAGAATAGAATAGAGTAGAGTAGAGTAGAATAGAACAGAAATAAAATTGAATTTTGTGAGAATTCGTGTTCACGAAAGCGCAACATTTCATCTGCAATCTCTTTCACATTCACTTACCCATGCAGAAATGGCTTCCGAGTCCACATTGTGTTGATCTTGTAAAAAGTCCATCAACTCGGATATATCGACGGTACCATCTTGGTTTTGGTCCAAATGCATAAAGATCAATTCCAAATCGTGCCTCGAGGTGGTGGACGTCCGACGACCAAATTGTCGTAGGATTTCCGCTCGTACTCCAATGGTGGATCGACGGCTGGCCATGGTGGATGCAGTCGCAGTCGTTGCCACGGAAGATTGACTCACTTTTGGTTCCTTGGGTGGCATCATTCCACCATTTTCCGCCACGGTATTGGCCATGACCCCCAAGGTATCTGCCCTGGAAATCAAATGGGAAGTATTGACATTATCAAATTGCGTCTTCATAATTGCTTCAAATTCTTCGTATTCCAAATAACCATTGTCTTGAATGTCCACACTGTTGAACAAATCCTTCATTTGATGAATTCCAAAAATGTCTTTCATGGCCACTTGAAATTCTTCAAAATCGACCTTCCCATCTCCTGTAATATCCATGCTGTCATAGTAGATCGCTTTTAGGTTTTCATCCGTGGATAAAATGCCCACATGAAACTTTTTCATGATTGCCGCTCGAAACCGACGTTGCCAGAATCGTCGCAACTTGGTATCGGAATGCAACAAGACACGAGTGGCCGTTTGTCCCTTGATCCATGGATGTTGTTGCAATTGCTGAGAAGTCATGCGCTTTTCAGGACAGGGTTGCAACAAATTGCGCATCAAATCAATGGCCGATTGACTCAATTTGGAAACCCGATCATCAAAGACGTGTTGACTCAGATAATCGGGTGCATGGTGATGATTCTGGTTCGAGTTTGCGTGATACAACGAGTTGATCATGGCAGACTTGATCGATTCGTCACTGGCGCTGTTGGTCCGGTCAAACGGGTGCGTTCCCGTCAGCAAGGTGTACATGATGACTCCCACGGCATACATGTCCACGGGTGGTGTCGGTTGCTGGGGGACGCCCAAATTCTTGAGAATCTCGGGCGCCAAGTAGGCCACGGTTCCAAAAATGAGCTTGGTGGGTGGGCGTTTGGTGTTGGGGACGCAAAAGCCAAAATCCACAATCTTGACACAGGGACGTTGGGCATCGTTGCTCATGAGCAAATTCTCCGGCTTCAAGTCGCCATGTGTGTAGCCTTTGGAATGAATGTAGGCCAATCCTTGGGCGAATTCTTGCAAAAAGTTGGCGGCATCTTGTTCGGAAAAGGGTCCCGCCCTGACCAAATGCTCAAAGAGTTCACCGCCACCCACGATGTATTCCATTGCCAAGTACACATTGTGTTCGTCTCGATGATGGTCATACAATTGACAGACATGTTCGTGGCCTGGCGTTGAGAGGGAAGACAGGGATTGAATTTCTCGTTCCAAGGCTTGATCCGTAGAAGTATACTTGGGAATGACCTTGAGTGCCAAATGTTGTCCATCCGATATGCGAATGGCCTCGTAGACCTTGCCATAGGCGCCTTCTCCTAACAATTGCTGAAGCTGATAATGATCCTCCAAACGCCACATCTTCTCAATCGGAGTGGGTTCTAACATTAGGGAGGCATCCATAAAGTCCAACTGCTTGGCTGTGACTTTGCGAGTGGCATTGTCTTGTTGTTGTTGTTGCTGCTGCTGCTGCTGCTTCTGATGCTGCTTTTGTGCCTGAAGTTTGCTGGCCTTGAAGGGAGAGTGAATCTTGATTCTGAGCTTGGAGGGACTTGGAGAAGTCGTTGCCGAGAATTTGGTTCCGCTGCTGGTAGCCAATTCATTGGTAGCAACAGCAACAGCAGCAGCAGTCTTTTGCTTCTTCTTGTAGGGCTGAATTACGTCGTTGCAAGCAATGATTTTGTCGTGAAAGGGGACCGAAATCATGCTTCGTCGTCTGCGTGCGCCTGGCATTTTTCAATGTTTTTGCTGCTCGCTGAGTTTCAGGTTTGACGTTTCACGCTTGACGCTTGACGTTTCAACGTTGTAGTTGTGTTTGCTGAACCCTGAACTACTGGTACGTATGATGTGACTGCTTCAATCGGGGAAGTGTCTATGCTTGTAAGCTTAAGCCTATCCTTCAGTTGTTTGTAATTGTCTTGTCTTTCTTGTATGGTGCTTATAGATAGATGAGAGATGTGATCACCTCTGATAGAAGAAAAACTCACAGCGAAGACGTTTCATGTAGAGAGTGACGAACCTTTTGAAGTTTTTTTCCATTGGCAAGAAACAGGTCATGCGGTACAGTTTCTACGCAGCTTCCACGACTCTGGTGGGAAGATGGAAAACCTCTTCCACATTGAAATTTATATATTGGTTCGCTAATTTCTCCGTTCGGTGTGTGTTCCACACCATAAATGTTGTATGAACATTGCTTCATTACAATTAACAGTACATGAACAGTCTAATTAGTGAAGTATCAACTCTGACGTAGTGTCAGAGCGTCAGTTTTCTAGTTTATTTTACGTTTGGTGCCAATTGTATTTTATGACCGATGCCCAAGATCGAACCGGCAATAGAGAATCTCTTTTCCGGTCATAATCACGCATCACCCATCTCCACGTCATACAATAATACCGGTAGCTCTACACTCTACACTCTACCGTACATCACACACACAACACACGCAGAGAAACCCACATGTCAATATGGAAGAATAGTCGGCATCGAAAGCAACACAGTGATGAAAGCTCATCAACATCAACAGCAAGATACTTCTTTACCCCTTCCAAAAAGATTCGTCTTATTCTTTTTCTTGCCAGTGTTGGCGTTCTATTATTCACAGTGGAACTTCAACGGAAGCTTTTTCAGACGGCACTGAACGATGAGAACACTCAATCTTGGTGGTCATTATCCTTCGTGACACCTTCCGCTGTATATTATCCTTCTTCTGCTGCTGCTGCTGTTTTTGGCAAAGGATATCCAAATCGACGTCAAAAATTATCATCATCATCATCATTATTATTAACCAATGAGAGTTGGAACGAATGGGAGCACAAGTTTCGAGCCAACCATACGATGCTCTTGGAACAACTTCAGAAATCATCGGTCTATGGGAGTACATATGATGATGATCATGATCATGATGGTATTGTTGACGTAAAGTGCTCAGTGGACTATCTACGAGATTATGTGCAAGTGACACGGCCAGCTACCGATTTGTCACCGTTGCCGAATGATTGCGATTGGCCAAAGAGATTGAAACAACAACAGCAACAGCAACAGCAATGGAAGAATGGTAATAGTCAATCACCAGTTCCAGTACTCTTGTCGGATGCTACTATTGATGCTACTATTGATGCTGATAGTAATGACAACAAGTGTCAATTGGTCCACTTTTCAGCCACACAAGCCTGTCAACTATTGAACGAACGTCGTGCTGCCGTCAATCATGATCACACTAAGAACCACGGACAACAACCACAACAACAACAACCGATTGTCCTACTCTTCATTGGCGACTCGTTGATTCGGCACATTGTGATTGGATTGGGGATTGTGTTGACTGGCAATGTTCGACAGGGTGGAGTGCAGTACATTCATTCCAATCCGCATGACGATTTGGGACATGTCTGGAAACGAGCCTGTTCCTGTGAAAATCAATTTACATGTGCGACATTGAAACAACAAGATGACATGGGGCGATTCACTCATGCCTTTGGATACAATAATATGACCTACTTGAATCATGTGGATTGGTGTCAAAAGAGTAATAACATTGGTATTGATACTCGTCAGCATCCACCAAGAACGTACCAAATCATTTTGGAGCAACAAAACAACAATCCCAAGATATCGCCAATGGTGAGGCAACTCATTGCCAATCATGCAAAATATCATTCTGCATTTGTCATTGTGACGGATGCTTCCGCCTTGCACTCCGGTTTGAATATTCGCAAAACGAGACGGTTTCTCGACAAATTGGAGAACTTATTGCGCTTACAATCATCGTCAAGAAGCTCTTGGTTGATTATACCAATGACAGTCCATCATGTGGGGGCCAACAAACCCAACGAATTTTTGGAACAACAAGGAAGGCAACCAGTCGAAGACTACAATCAGCAATTGCGTACTTGGGTGGAACAAAAGAAGACGAACTACAGATTGCTAGACACCTACAGTATGACCCAAGGCCTGCCCAGTAACGATGGGACGCATTATCCATCGGCCAGTGTGGCACTGGCACAAATATTGCTGCTGTATCTTCGAGATTATCTTCCAGCAACAGTTGTTAGGGATGGAGGTGCAGCAGCAGTACAGGAAGAATGATGAACTAGAAGAAGACGTCGCTCAAAAATGTAGTACAGACCCAATTGCCATGACCACCAAATTGACACAGATCGTCAAATGGCTCAATAATCACGATGGATACCAAAATCGGAATGTCATATTCACTCAAGCCAAGCCATGAGACAGCTGTTTCGCTCCAGCATGCAAAGCCCCAGCATTCAAAGTTCTTCTTCTTGTAAGGAGGAACCAATCAATCCCAAATAATGATAAGAGTCTCACCATCATGATGTCCTCATCAGTATTTTGCCAATATACCTCTGAATCATTATTTCATTGCCAGGCATTGGATACAATTTCTTTGATTGCTAATAGTAGTTATTGCTACAGTCGAGATGAAAGAATACAAGACATTCATTGGTGTTCGAAATTGACAAGATTGTGCAACACTCAGGGATTCTATAAAACATTAACATTTGATTGATTCCACCTTAAGAATGTCTATTTCGTCACCATTCCCCTTCAAACGCTGGTTCTTGATCGTTGGATATGGACGATGATTTTGCAGCCTCGTCCATGTAGTCTTTCAAGGATGACTTTGGCAACTTGAGTTGTACGATCAGCACCTTGAATCTGGCTCGTATCCGTTGTAGTTTCGATTCGACATCTACTTTGGACTTGTCTTCGTCGTCACTCGGCGGTGGTGGCGGCGAGTCTGCATCATCCGATTGATGTGGTGGCAATGCTTCCTTTGCTTCCTTTGCTGACAATTGATTATGATTCTCCTGAAAGATGGCATCGGGTCCCACTAATTCTTCTTCCAGTACTTTGTGCAATTGATCAATACTGCGTTGTATTCTTTCATTCTTTACTACAGTGGCAAAGTTGTCTTGTTCCAAAGCCTCCAAAAAGCCACGAATAAATCCAATTTCCATTCCCAATTCAAATCCTTTCACTTGTCCCAACGCCTTGCCATCCCTGAAACCTGCCAATCTTCCTGCTTCCGATCCGCTGATTTCTCCCCGTTGGACTGATTCTTGATGAGGATTCCAACACAAGTCGTCCCATTCCATTGTTTTATTTAGATTCTATAGCTGATCCTTGTTTTGTGTTTGGCCTTATGATGGTGACGATGAATGTGATTATGCCTGCATGCGATGATCTTACATATATTGGATGATGACGATGCTGAGATGATTACATTCTCTTATTCGTGGAAGTTATTTGATCTCCGTTACTCGCTTTCGACAAAAATCGCCTGAAACTCAACGATGAGACCTCGCATTTTATAATACACATCGCCATCGCCAATAATAAGACGCAGATCTCAACGTTGGAGGCTTATTGCTTATTTTCATTGTTCTGATTGTCAAAGCTCTGCCATATTCGGTCATACAGAAGATCTGAGCCAAGCTAATTCGAAGCGACTACAGTATGATATGTGACGCAAGAAGCACTACGACAGACCACGTTTCCAGGAAAACCTGAACTTTTGAAATTCCAAAACCAAAACAACAATAACGTTTCAAATCATCCACAATTTTTGGAATCCTGAAAGCCTTTTCTGTCTTCGCTTATCATGCCAAAACGGTACCGTGTGTTGGAGAATGAGGAACAAAGAAAGTGATTACCAGTCAGATTGCGGTGATGTTGTGCTGATCATCACCATGATGCCCGTCTTGAACGTATTCCAGTCCTTCTTATGGAGTTCCATCCGACTCCCGGTTGAATGTCATAGGATAAAGTCACACTCGATGTTGATGATGATGGATCACAACTGACTGCTCCCATTCTTGCATTAGCGGAAAGGAATCACATTCTATTGACCTCCTGCTACTGCTTATTCAAAGAAGCTATCAGCAGCTTTCAGACATGGAAAAGGGGTATCGCGACTTGGACAAGAAAGTCAGATTGAAAAGAGCCGCATTGCTATGTCTCAAGAAAAGAAACGAAACTTCTGCAAAAGGAGGTGACTGTATATTTCTCACATTGCAGTATCAACACCTGCGACCACGACGATGATCTGAGCTACATCTTTCCATATACCTACCGGTATACGGAACAAGGGTACTTTAGTTTGAAAGCAAGAAAATTGTTTTCCGAAAGTATAGTGGACGCTAAAAGTGTAAGGTCAATTACAATGGATTATCATTCATTCGCTGAAATGTGTCGGTATCTCGTTCACTTGTCGTGTCGGGTGGCTCAAGCCTCGCAATCTTGTGAGATGATCATTGTCCGTCACATCAGAGCTACTTTAAATGACATGAATGCTTTGCATATAATATATGTAGTATATAGATAAAAAACAAGTTTCAAACTGTACAGTTTGTACTGAAGTCACGATGAAAACGATCCAACAATAACGATGCTCATTCGACGATGTTGTATTATCTATATACATTATGACAACCATCATCGTAAGGTCGTTCCCTAGCAGCACGCTTCGTCTTCTTATATTCCATTTCATATCGCCACCCCAATTGACGTATGAAACAGAGGAACGATTATCGTGTTGAACACATCAGTGCTGTGATATGATCATCCATGACCGATTGCACAGATAAACTACACGTGTAGAATCAATCGATCCATCCACCAATTTATACATTCACCATATTATGGCCCTCTATCATGTCGGTGTAAAGTGCCGTGTAAACCTCCTCCCAATCCTTTCGGACTTGTGGTGTAAAGGTCTTTTCATCGAGTACGTCATCCAACACGACTAGCAAGACTTTTCCCATGGCAGGATAGTAAGAGGTATCCACTCCATAACGAACGTGACGTTGACCCAATTCCAACAGAATTTCTGTGAGCAATTCACTATCTGGACCCAACATATCCAAGGAACGTTCGATCATCTGAATAAAGACCCGAATGAACCATTTGGCCTTTTTGACAAATCTGGGATTTTCCAACGAGTCCTTCGACGAAGGATCCGAGCCCTTTGGAAACCCAAACACGGTCATGGCATTGGGAGTAGAGGCAAAGAATCTGTAGGCAAACAGAGGAGAAGCGTCATGTGTGGTTAGAATTCGGCATGCCTTTCAATTCATTTTGATCGTGAAAACGTTTCCGGTGAACTTACTTCTGAAAGAGCTGCGTTCCAACGACGTGTTCGTAGTCTTTGACTTGTCGGACTTTCTCCCAAGTGGCAATCACATTGGAGACCGTGTTGTAAGACATATCATGAACCATGGTGAAGGATTATGTTTGTTGGTTTGATTGCTGGATTGAGCAAATGAATGAATGGTTGTAGCCTGTAGGTGAAATAAAATTATGTTTGGAGATGAGCTCAAATGAAAATGCTACTCGCAAAAAACCGAGAAAAAACAACGTCAGTGGTCCAAAACGTCCCAAAGTCACAGAAAATGGTTTCTTGCGTTATATGTCTTGAATGTCTCATGACCTAAAGACACCAAGATTCACCCGCAAAATGTCCCATTCAAAACTATTTACTTATGGACCAAACGCGGATTTGTCCACATGAATGGCGAAGAAAACTCCACAAGTAGAGCGTATTATAGGTCACGCTGTTGTACAATGTCATGTGCACAATACAACAATATGCGATGGACTGACACCACTCATCATGATACATGCTTGGAAGGAAGGACGTCATCTATGCTAGGTATTGATACACTACAGTACTAGAAATCCTTCCCTCATGCAATCATCCAATCGCATCCACAACAGGCACTTTACATAGTACCTCCTCGTCATTCTTGTTTGATATTCAGCCACCAACAGATAGAGCCAGGAATACTGGATGACCTACGTTGGAAAAGGTTAGCATAATAATCCATTATAGCTACAATCGTATTCTTACACAGCCGATCTTCCACTGACAAATAATGAAGGAATGAAACCAATCATTCTGAATTCGTCCTTCTAATGGAGGAGTAGGGTACGACTACTGGCTATACCGCCGGGCGGTATTCAGAACTCGATTATATAGCTATTGTGCTGTACCAAGAAGTGGCAGAGAAATTGTCTCTCTACTAAAGTGGCAAAATTATATGATACATTGTTGGGTGAACGAATGGATGGCGATGACATGCTGAACCTTCCCCTGAAATGCTTCAGCATTCAACACAAGAAGAATGATACTATGATCTCTCTCTTTTCACTTTTGCTGCGTCTCCTTGAGCAGCTGATTGTGTCCCATAATCATGGAATGCGAGATGGCGGCATAAACTTGGACCCAAGCTGCCTTGACTGGTGCGTTAAAGTCTGCCGGTTTGAGATTTGCCTCCAGGGTGGTCATCAAGGCTTGTCCCAAAGATACATAAAATTCGGGCTGAACACCATAACGCACATGCCGTTGTCCCAAATCCAGCAGAATATCTTCCACAGTATCCATGTCCGGTCCCAGCATATCGACCACCTTGCCAATCATGAGCAGAAAGAACTTTACAAAATACGACGCCTTTTTGGCAAATCGCTTGTTTTCTTCCATGGTGGCACGGCTGGTAATGTCCAAGTCTTTGGGCAGACCCAAGGCTAGTTTGGCATTTGGCTGAAGCGTAAGAAAGCTAAAGAATTGGAACGAAAGGAGTCAGAAAATTGAAATCGATTGCTGTCGCTTCATTTTACGCCTGAGAATACAATATTCAGTAATATTCAGGCAATATTGAATATATACGCACTCACTTTTGAAAGAGTTGAATTCCGACAGTCTCCTCAAAGTCCGAATGCGCACGAAGCTTTTCCCAAGAGTCGAGAACACTCGAGACGGTAGAGTATGATAGTTCCATAATCATTATTATTTTGAATCAATCAATCAATCAATCAAACAATCAATCGTACGGTGATGTGAGGCTTCTCGTCAAAACCGGAAGTTGAATGTTCAGAGTTTGCTAGCTTTTGTGTAGTGTAGACGTGTCGTTTGAGGGATTCTGAAACTAGCCAACTTAAGCTTGATGATTGCGGTGGTGATGGAGTTGAGTTGTTACAGTGTTCCAATGAAGTTATTGGTGGAAGAGAGACGCCGTCAAGATTTTGTTGTCTGGTGTAGAGCGAGATACTGGTATGATTATGTTCGTTCGTCAACTTCTGCCGGAAAACGCGAAAGCAGCTCAAGGGAATGGAGAAGGTTGTTACATATGAATCTGCAAATGCTCGGACTTAACAACTGGACATTTCAGACTTAGTTTTTGCAAAATGACATGGTATATAAATGCCCGTTAGGACAAATTCAAATCGCCATTTCTTATAGTACTAATTTGTCCATGGGGGAGAACGCTATTTCTTCTCCACCAATCCTATTGGCTTGCGATCGTGAAATCCAATAATTGTTCGTTCTCTCGTGACTGACTCCAAGCCCCGGGGAATATTCCTGTCGACAACTTCGAAACTATACTACATTATCATAATGTGCATGCGTATTGCAGGTATTATACCCGGTAGACATTGAAACTTGGTATTTTGACTCCCCTAAACCAACCAACAGAGATACTCTTCGATACAACCAGCTTTTCATGTGGTACCCCAATCCATAGATATAGTAGTAACCAATCGAACCTTGTTTGCATCAGCATACAGCAGGACTCAGCAAGCAGTAGTGACCACTAGAAGGCAGTTTACTACCTTGTGCAATCAACAAAAACATCTTCATTGATCACGAGGCTGATGGAGAGCTTCAAAAGCAACAAGATCATCCAGCGACAATGGATTGCTGATGAGCCGCGACAAGCTACGCGACTTCAGCTCTAACAAGTTGTACTCGTCTAGCAGACCTACGATGCCGCGACCTTCAATGATGAACCGCAAAAGGCTGCCCGTCTCCAACTCTGACAAGATGAGCTCTTCCTACAAAACCTCCGTGAATCTCCTTTGTTTGGAGAATCAGTGATTCGACTAGTGTCGTCATGGGCAGCGCCAAGGACTTCACCAAATGAGTGAATGATGGTGGATGCTGGCTATTGTTGGAGACCTGCTGGATAGTAAGGATAGACGGCTTATTGGGCGGCCTGTTGATCACGTTCCCCAACGACTTGTGCCCAGATCTGACAGCTTGCTGTGGTCTTTCGATAAGCATCAGCAATGGCTTGATCATCGACTTTGTTCTCAACCCATTGCCTAGATTGCTGGACCAGTACTATGCCGCGATTGCAGTGGACCTAGTCTTCTGTTTGGTGATTAAAGAAGCTACAGAGAAGTAGCACTCAAGGCCTCGCGTGCAGTACCTCTTCTTGCCTTTCAAGAAAACTCCAGCTTCACTTTTGCTAATCACTTTGAGGCACCGAATGGCTATCTGGTCCATTTCTTCGTCGTTATACCAAGTAGCAGCAATTTCTTTGGGGGAGTAGTCGTGGGTGCTCATGATTTGAACACCAGTGACCATAGGGTTAAAGGTAACAGTTTTCTTGGGTTGTGGCTTCATTACAGACTCTTGTGTCTCGTTTGATTGAAGGAAAATTGTGAGATGCATCACAATGCTTTCAGCACAAAGTGGAATGAAACCAGCTCAGAGAACTTTTGCCAATGTCGATTGCGTTTGTTAACCGAGAGGCCTCTTCCAGTTTTGCATAATGTACCGCGGATGTCATTCTCTCAGGTCGAACTCCTAGTCGCAGCGTAAGAGAACCTCTCAGTTTTCCATAGTCGGATAGTCGTTTGTTTTGTTACATAAAGTCCGAGGTTTCTTCATGCGTCATGCTTGCAGTTCGAAACGCTTTTTGTCCATATAGTCCCACTGGAAATCTACAGTATCATAGATTTTTTGCTTCGACAATAATAAGTGACGCTGAGACGGAGCTAGGTTCCGGAGTTTTGCCCTATAGTTTTCATTTTCAAGAAACACGCAAGAATGGCCTTTTATTATTTTCTCGCTGGAAACCAGCTTTTGTAGCTTCAAGGAGGGAGTAGGGGCCAGTTACTACCACGCCACACTCTGGATGTGGAAAGCAAGAAAGATAGATCAGTCATCATCACTCTCTACGTATACGTTGAGCTTGACTACGCAAGTAGTACGAGAATTGGTGTCACTCTAGTAAAGTCGAGTAAACTGAAGATTCCAATATAGCTACCGCTAGAAAATATTTTAATATGAGAGAAATCTTGGGATTTTACAAATTGGGTTTACTGTGATTTTTATGCTACGCGACGGTTGCCCGGAGAAGCTGATCTTTTCCTGCAAGCTTCCATGCAATCTGTTGGTTTGGTGGACGCGGTAGACCTGATGCCAAACCGGTGGTTCGAGTCAAATCATCATCGGAATCATCGACATCGTCAGACTGCTCAGTTGGATAAAGATGGATGACTTGAGCAGCCTCTTCGTCACACTTCCCAACGACTCTAGCCCACAGATGACAGCTACGAGTAGTATTTCGATAGGCATCAGCAATAGCTTGATCATCGATGCTGTTTCCAATACGTTGCATCGATTGTTCAGCCATGACTGCCATAAACGCTGTTGATCTGTTCCTCGTTTTGGAAATTGAAGCTACGGAGAAGTAGCCCTCAAGGCCCCGTGTGCAGTACCTGTTGATTCTCAAGGAATCTCCAACTTCAACTTTCCTTATCACTTTAAAGCACCGATTCGTTATCTTGTACATGTCGTCGTTGTTATACCAAGAAGCGGAAACTTCCCTGCTTGTGTAGTCGTAGATGCTCATGATTTCAATACCTACGACAATAGGGTTAAGGGTGACGCTTTTCTTGGGTTGGGTCTTCATGTTTCCAGTCTTATGTTTCGTCGGAAATTTGGAAAATTGTGAGTTGAGCGGTTTGTCGAAGAGACCGCAGAAAGAATGTCTTCTTCAAATGCAGGAGCCGGGGGATGTTTAATTATGGACCGAGGTTCATTGTTCGGTTTTGGTTCCACCGAACTTGAAGACTACGTTTATTTCAGTGGAAAGCCAATATATATATAAAAAGCTTTTAGGATTGGACTATCTGAAATTGAGCGGGTAATGATCCCCGTGAATGTGTGTAGTGTACCAGTATGCAGCTGATTTGTTTAGAGAGCGTTGTATTCTACCGGTCAGCCTGCAATATATGCGGACTTGCGTACCTATATTTAAACTTCGTCAACAATTGGGAAACAGCCAATATACTGTAGCTTGGAATGAAAGCATACAGCGTAAAAGCCAAAAAAGCGTTAGAAATTGTGAACTGGTGACGGCACATGTTCTTCCAGCGATGAACATGGTCTGACTACATATCCTTGACACCGGCAGAACTGCAATTGTGCATGACGGATCTAATGGCTGTCATCATAAGTTTGTTTCTAACTCGCTTCTTGATGAGTCGCGAGAAATTGTAGTGAGAATTTAGTATGAATGCTGGCAAAGGAACGTCATGTATGGTATCACCATGCGGTGTGAAACTTCCATATCGCCGGAGTGCCTCCGACAGTTCGTGCAGTATGCACCGAAAAGGAGTCCTACATCTCGTACTCCCAGTAGAATATAATCAATGAATGAGGGTGCAGATGTCTTGGCCACGCTCTCCAACGACTTGCTTGAGCCCACATCATATATCACAACCAAGTGTATATATAGTCTGTCTTTCTGTAAGCCGATGTCTTGAGGAGGCATAAAATTTGGAACGAAAAGCGAAAAGAAAACGAAAAATGGTCTAGTCTGTACCCCTGACATCAGCAGCATTGCTACGATACGGCTGTGTCTGAAGGATCTGATGGCTATCGTAAATTTGTTGGTAGAAGTCGCGAGAGGGTGAAATAGTCAGTCAGTCAGTGTGTATTTTTATTTGGTCGGATTATTCGACGATTTCTGCGCACTTTCTGCGCGTTTTACATAAACAAAATATTGAATAAAGTGCATGAAATCGTTTCACTATTTGAAAACGAAATGGCGGATCGAACTTTTGTTTCCAGTAACTCAAACGTCGGCACGAATCCATGTCAACAGCAAGTCTTCTCTTTTCCTACCATTATTTCTCTACCGGCAGCTGGTGTTGCTTTCAACATTTTGACTGTTTCAACTGCAGCTGAAGAAGAAAGCAAAATGGATGGTGACCCGCCCACTGCGACTGTGGTCGTTGAAAAACGCATTCTTGTGAAGGATGCAATGGAAATGGACACCAAATCAGCATACGCCATTGCTCTCGAAAGTTGCAATAATGGACACTGTCAAAGCACGGCTTCTATTACTGATGCCGATAACTCGATGGCTTCTTCAAACGATGACGGAAAGATACACAAACCGCTCTGGAAGATCATCGAGGCCAAGGATGACTTGCCAGAAGCCCCTGACGGGCCCAAGCGAGAGTGGGAACCTGTTTATCATTGGTTTCATAATATCAGCAAGAAAGAAGCAAAGGCAAAGGTGTTGGAAACAAATGATGGAGATGGTGCAACGGCCTTACACTCTGCTTGTCTCAAACAGGCACCTCTTGATATCATTCGGAAAATCTTGGATATCGGTGGAGCCGAGACTGCTAAATTGACCGATGCACATGGAAGATTACCACTACATTGCGCTTGTATCTTCGAATCCGACTTGAATGTCATTCAACACCTGATTGATTTCTATCCTGATGGTGCTTGTCAGAAAGATATATATGACAAATTGCCACTCCACTATTTAGCTGCCGAAGACTATTGCAACCCGCAGGCTATGCAAGCTCTCATTCATGCATATCCTGATGGTACCCGAGTCAGAGATGGAGAAGGAAACTTGCCCCTACATCTGGCTTGTCGATACCCTAGCGGCTTGCAGGTCATTAAGGCTCTCACTGATGTCTATCCTGCTGGCGCTGGTGAAAAAGATAGCAACGGAAGCTTGCCTGTACATGATGCTTGCCGATACAAAGGCACACCCCAACAGGCCATTCTACATCTCATCGACATTTATCCTGAGAGCGCTGACGAGTGTGATAGTAGCGGGAGATTGGCCGTACATTTGGCTTCTTACCGTGGCTTCTTCAAGGTTGTGAAAGCTCTCATTGATCTCTACCCTGATGGCGTTTGTGAGAAAGATCGTGACGGAAGGTTGCCCCTTCACTTGGCTTGCAAGCAGTCGCCGGATCCGTCACAGCAAGTCATTCTCCATCTCATTGATGTCTATCGTGATGGTGCTGCTGACAAAGATATTGACGGAGACTTGCCCCTTCATCATTATATAGCTTGCCAGCAGTCCTTCGACTTGCAAGTCCTCGCGGCTCTAATTGCTGCACACCCGAAAAGTATGGAAGAGCGAAATATTCATGGCAGAACGCCCTTTCAGTCTTCAAAGAAAGGAAGTGACGGGGCAAGCAAATATCTTCATTATATTCTACACAACGAAGGTTACTGGAATGGGGGTAGTGTTCTGACAGGTGAACGGAAGCTTAAGAGTTGCATGGAATACATGCCACATGAAATCTTTCTCAGCGCAATCTCTCAAAACATTGACTCGAAACAATTGGTCCCGTTGTTGAACCGAATGTCATGCAACCAAGTGGCAGTCTTTTACATCATGCGAGACTTGTACATTTACGTTGCTCTGATTGTGTCGTTCATAAGTGCCACAAACCAGTATCTTCTGGAAGAAGAGCCAAACCTTGGGTGGGCAATTTCTCTCATTCCTTTGGCAATTGTGCTATTTCTAATCGAGCTACTGCAGCTTTGGCGACGAAAAAAAAATGGCGAAACGGCGGCGTATTTCGTAGATGTCTGGAACTGGATTGAGCTAACTGCTATTGCTCTCATCCTGGCGTCAGCAGAAAGGCTGATTATGGAAGAGTATGTTCAACTGGATGGCGATACTGAAAGAACGCGGCGTTTGTTGATGTTTACTGGTTTCTTTCTCTTTGGGTCTTTGGTTTCCTTTATGAAGAAAGCCTTGTTACCCTTTGCTACATTCGTGGGCGGTGTCATGTTCGTAAGTTTGATCCTTCATGTTTCAGCGTCAAATGGCGAAAAGGTTGCTCACTCCTTCCCAACTCAAATCGTATTCTAGATCTTATGGGCACTGATCCCTTTCTTAGTCATGGCAGGAATGACTCTCGTCACCTTTGGGTACATGTATTTTGTATCATACAGCGATCAGGAAGGCTTTGAAACCATGATGGCTTCGTTATTTTCCGTCTTTTCAGCAGTTATTGGTGGTCAGCATGACGCAGCCGTTGGCTTGTTGGATATTGTCTTTGGCGTGGTGACGGCGATTGTACTACTGAATGTTTTGATTGCCATTGTCTGCAAGGCCTGGAATCAGGCAATTGAACGAAAGTACGCAAGAGCAGTATTTTGGCAGTATCGCATCGCTTTCATTCTTGAAATGGGCATTGATGATTTGAACGAAGAAGCCGAGTGGGATTCAGAGGACAAACTAGTCCTCGGACCTGTTGGACTTCGGTTCATCCTTCGTTGTATATCACTGGCCTTTAAATTCGTTCTTGGCGTCTTGTCTTTTGGTTATTGTTGGCCAATGCACATGCGCAAGAACTTATTTGCTGAAAAGTTGGAAATCGATGAAGAAAGTACCGAAAAGGCTGAAACCAAAGAGCTGGTATCACTGATCACAGAGCAGTCAACCAAGCTTGACAAAATGGATGCTGAAAACAAGCAGCTTGTTAACAAAGTGGTCGGCATGACAGCCGAGAACAAGCTGCTTTCTTTCAAGATTGCCGACATGAAAGCTGGAACTTTTGATCTTGCTCTTGAAATGAAAACTCTACAGTCTCAGAACAATCGGATACTTGTGCTTTTGGAGGGTCTCTCGAAACAGGAAAATAAATAACCCCGCCGACATTTACAGCATTATGTTCAATGTATACATTATTATGATGATGCGATGCGATTTGGTATTTTTTTCTTCGGCCTGTCATCTCCATTTTTATATTCGTTCACGAATAATATATAATAACCGCAATAATAAGACAGTCCGTGGACAGACTGGAGAGACGCGCAACGCGTGCAAATAATAAAAGGTTGACGATCGATTTTTTTTCACAGCGTAATATTTTCCTCGTTGGACAATGGCGAGAATAATGACTAATAGTACAACCATGGTGCAAAGTCAACAATGCGACCATGGAGAGCAAAATTCATGATATGCTAGGCACCAATACTTCTTTCACCATTAACCGTGAAGACGGAAGAGCAAATCAGTTTTAGAACACACGTTGCCGTTGAGCCGAAACCGTGGAAAAAAACTATGCTCACAACTTTTCGATTTACTTTGAAACGGATCTCATCACTAGCTTTTCTACGAAGCTTGGTACATCTTTCCAAAGTCGAGACGTTTCTTGCTTCAGCAGAGCAACTTCATTTCACAACAGAATCTGCTCATATTTTTGACATTCGATCAATTTGCATCAACTCAATCCTTTCAAAGAACAACAACAAATAAACAAACAAACAAAACAATTTCCACCATGTTGTCTCTTCGATCCATCATCATGATCTTTCTCCTTTTGGCCATGCAGCCAATGGCCATGCCTACCTTGATGAGTGCAAACTACACTCGTCCATCCACTCAAGTTTCCAGTTTGGCCAACGAAAACATTGTTTCCACTGTTGACTTTGTTGGAACCACCGTGGAAATGGAATCCACTGGTGCTCCTTCTTTCTCCCTTGCGGAGTTTATCATGTCTATTGACTACGAATCGATCAAGGCTTTCGCACAAGACCTCAACGAGAAGTACGAAACCTTCACCCAAGCATGCACTGATGCCATGTCTGCCATCTTCGAGTTCTTCAGTATGGAGTACAACGCATACAAGCAATCGATCAACTACGAGTCGATCAAGGCTTTCGCACAAGGCTTCAACGAGAAGCACGAAGCCTTCACCCAAGCATTCACTGATGCCATGTCTGCCATCTTCGAGTACGAACCATTCCACCAATCCATTGACTACGAGTCCGTCATGTCTTCCGCAGAAGCACATATCCAAGAAGTGACTGCTGCCATGTTTTCCAACATCGAACTCTTCATCCAGAAGCTTGAAGCATACAACCAAGAGTTCCAAGTCGAGTATCACCGAGTCTACAAGAAGCAGCAAGGAAATTTTGCCACTGACCTGCGTGCTGCAGCTCCAGCTTGGCCAAGCTTATTTGACCATGGATTCATCGTCAAAGATGTTTTCGACGGAGTGCAATCCTACACCACCAAGGACCCATTCGTCCCAGCACCACTTCCACCGTTGCTATCCCTTGAGGACGCTCAATCGATTGCAGCAATGGAGGTGGTATTGGACTCCTCGACCACTTTTGGTGCCATTGTCATTGCCCTACTCTTCGTCGTCGCTATGACTACTATCATTTATGCCAACAGTGTCATCGATCGAGGGCTCATCTCCATGGAAGATTTATCGATTGTCTTGGAAACACCCTGTTTGTCCATGACTGATTTGAGAAAGAAAATGACACCATCGGTCATACTCCAATCTGAGGCTGCTTCTGCTAGGTATCAAGCCAGTTGCGACAAGTCCAAGGACCCTTCTGTCATGGACCTCTGCAACCTATTCGCCAACATTTCCTTCCTGAAGGATACTACGGATCCTTCGAAAAATGAATGAGAGCTTTTGAAAACAAACAAAAAGAGCGACTCATGATATGTTCATCTACCTCTACCGTTTGACCCTCCTGCAACATCAAGGCCAACTCGATCTTTGGGAGTTCGGCCTACAGGGGTACTGCTGCACCAAAAAATTGCAGTAGGTGGTCGCGTAAGTTAAGGAGGACATACAAATAAAATCATGTGGAAAAATAATGCTAGGAAGATAGGATGGTGGATGGCTTCGGAATAAGGTGACTTGAAGATATTATTATCGAATAAGCAGTCAGGTGGGAGCGCAGTGCTCGAAATACTATTCATGACGACTCTCAAAAGTCGTCAGACCTTCAATGATACAAACTTTGAATGGGAACAATAAGTTCGAAGATGAACTATAAAAATTTTAAAAAATAACAGCAATGGATGCAAAATAAAACATCAGCCAATCCAAATATTTACTATACTGTAGTAGTAGTGTAAGCTATTTCATTTCACTTTGTTTGCGAAACTTTGCAATGCCCAAGATGATCGCTTTTGATCTGACAGACATTGGCTAACATAATTTTGTCTTCAATAAACTCATATTCTCTCTAATAATCTATATAATGTAGGTATGGATTACGACCGGTAAGAGCGACCCAAATGTTGCCGGCCGGCCACGCGCCTGCCAACCACCGGTAGATGAATTATGCCAATGCATGATGAAGACGATATATAATATAAAATAATGACCCCTGCTCCTGAGTATTTGCCAGGAGAGAGTCATACTGCATACAGGATAAAGCATCATTTTCCCGTACGTACCGGTATCGGTACAGGTACACGTACATAGCAAACACGAGACTTTTTTTAATATAAAAAAGGCGAATGCTAATTCGAAGGATCCGCTAATTTCGAAACGTACCCTCTCAAAACGAACCCATCGTGCACTGCATGGAGATGGAATTTCAGGCATTTTTGGCTCGTTAATATTACGATTCCATATATATACAAAAGGCCTATACCTGGGCGAAAATAAATAAAGAGTGGAGGCTAAGGCTTAGTCGTAGCTCGCAGAAACGCGAACCAAATATTAACTAATGTCTCTTTTTCCGCCGGTTGCGAAACGTTTCAAAACGAATCATTGTAAAAATCACGAATTGCAGTGCGAATAATTATCATGCCATCGGTTGTGAGTACCATGTCCTCGCTTTATAGCATCAGCGAGGGCTCTACGTTTGGTGTTGAGCGCGAAGACAACCCTCCCACCGTTCCTCGACGAAGGGCTAGCGGAAGCCAGTCCATTGGAACCTCAGAAGCAAGCAATAATAATCAGCTGCAAGCAAGGGAAAGAATCAACGAAGATGAGACTGATATTACAGGGGAAAATAAAAAACGAAGCTCGAGTACACGTGACAAGAATATTAGAAACATTTCTAGATCCAGTCATAGAAGCGGTAGGAAACGAAGGTCTCATTCAAACAGAGGTGACGATAAGACTGAATTAGAAGTTGAAAATCAAAGAGAAAGCAGCAAAAGGAAACAACGATCAAGAAGGTCCCAATCTTCATTCCTAGGAGAACCCAAAGACGAAATGAATGGCCGGGAAGATACCAACCAAGAAAAAATTTCGAGAGACATACCAGGAAGACCAACTTCAAACCGAAGTAGTTCATTATCATCCCATCGACCATCAAAGACCAGCGGAGCAACCAAGGAAGATCAAACCATTGCTTTTGACGAAAGGCCAAAAGAAGAGAGTGTGGAAGAAGGGCCAAGAAGAAAAATGAGTTCCAGGCGATCGTCTTCCTCATCATCTCGCAGAGACTCTTCCCACCGCAATAATGATGACGAGTCATCCAAGGACACGGTAGTGGGCGAGAGACGCCATCGTTCTTCTACTTCGTCCGGGCAGCATCGCCGACGCCACTCCCACCAATCATCGCATCCATCGTCGCGCCGGTCATTGTCGTCATCAAGACGACCATCTTCCGTATCTTCGTCATCCGATTGGACAAGCTCCTCGAGAAGCCGTGATAGTGGTGCCCAGCGCGAACAATGCGGTAGATCGAGCAGTGATAAAGATGTAGCCGAAGAAGACTTAGAGGTTGAGACACCAGGTGCCTATCGAATCAGCACTCATTCCACTACTCGGATGATGTCCAGCACGCATTCCACTCCCTGGGCGCTATCAATGAGTTCGTCAGTATCGAGCAGTGAACACTCATTTGCGATGGACGAAGGAGAAGCTCTTACGGCCTCCACTCGCTCCGAGTCCTATAGTCGTGGCGGATCTCTTTCTTTATCCACCCGAAGCGCCATGGTGAGAGCGGAAGCGGCACCGGACTTGACCGAAGAAATTGCCACAGCCAGAGATCAGGGCCGCACGGAGGCGTTTGCGGAATATGCGAGTCGTGAATCTTCCATTGTTGTGGTAGGAGTCCCACAAACAAGAAAATCAAAAGCCGGAAATGATGCGAGGAATGGCAAAAAGAGGAGAGCACTCATTGGATATACATTTTGTTGTTGCTTGCTTGTGCTCGTTAGTGGTATAATCGGATATTTCACAATGATTGGTGGCAAAGAGAATGATGGATTACTTCCCGTAACTCCTGATCAGAGTGGCGAAGATTCAGAACTGCTTGCAGATATTAGGTTTGATCCACCAACGGCAGACGATTGTGCTTCGGTTGCAAATGGTACGGAAGTGACTGGTCAGGCTGATATGATCACGAAGTTTATCGACATGCACATTGAGCTTACCACGGACAGTGAGAAAGACGCTAGCTTTCTTGTTACACTGTTAAAGCAACAGATCCAACTATCACTTATGCCGTTACTGATTGGATGTGACGAATATGTAGGAAACATAATAGGTAACGGAGTGGTTGATTCTGTCAGCAACCAGACGGCGCCTTGTCTCTTCCGAGGGAACCCGAATTGTGTGGAGGTTGTGTTGACAATCAAGATTTATCTTCGGCGCAACTTGGATGGTAGTGTTGCTGTGGAGATAATGAATGATCTTCTTTTGGGCAAAGATTTGAAGAAGAACCTTGAACTGTCGCCAAGTGTTGAGACTGCCAGCGTTTCGCTGATTGTTCCTTCGACTAACTCCATGAGCAACACATCTGAAACTCCAACATGGAGTCCAAGCATGAGTGCTCCAAACAGCATGTTCGGACCTCCTTCGCCAATACCTGGCAGCTCTGGACCCACAGTCGAACCTATCACTACTACAAGTAACCCATCACCAACGCCAACAATACGGGAAACACTGGACCCAACATCCACGCCAGTGTCTGTTCCGACATCAAGCCCAGTACTGGATTATCAATCTGATATCACTTTTCAGCCTGCCCCTGTCAGAATAACTCCACAGCCGACGCCTAGCCCATCGCTCCAAGAAACGGCTAGACCCACAAGTATTCCAACAGGTAGACCAACACCAGGGCCGACACTTATGCCCATTCAAGGGTCTACACCTTTGCCGACAGGCATGATCACGCCCAGTCCCACAGCTAGTCCAACACCCGTACCGACGGCTGATCCAACACAGTTACCTTCAAAGTTACCGTCATATATTCCAACAATCATGCCCTCTCGTATTCCAACTGAAAATCCATCCTTCACACCAAGTTTGACCCCAAGCAATGGTCCAAGTCTCGATCCATCTACAAAACCGACATTGGTGCCTTCCATTCCACCTTCTGTGTGCACAAGTGACACGAAGATTGTCCCGCTCTTTGATGAAGGAGACGGCGCTTACAATCAAGTTAGCCCAGGTGAAGTCAGTACAGAAGTGCAGAGGTTCTCATGTCGAGCTGCTGCAACTACGGATATTGGCATCGTCAGTTTTGCCGAGCCTGGGTGCACAGCGGAGTGCCTTTTCACAATACCCTTCTCAAGCTTTGAATCATACTGCAACAGCAATCCAGCAGGAGGCTTCTCTTTTTCAATTCCTGGTCCTTTTACCGATGATTCAAAGTTGTTTATAGGAACCGTTGCAGACGACTTCGAATTGACGTGTGGAGGGCAGCTATCGATAACTTACTTTGACTCCAGTGCAATTGGCTGTTTTGCTGATGCTCAGCAGCGAGCCATGGTTGGGACCGAAAGACTAACATCGAGTACAATGACCGTGCAACAATGTCTCCAGAGATGTTTTGAAGCCGGTTTCAGTTATGCTGGACTGGAGGGGCGACGCGATTGCTTTTGCGACAATGATTACATGCTTTATGGAAAGATTGAAGATTCAAGGTGCAATAGAAATTGTGTTGCTGATGGAATGCCATGTGGTGGCGACTGGGCCATGTCTGTGTATCCGACTGGAATTGATGGTCATGACGGCGATTATACGCCTGTCCCTTCTGTGGCTCCACTTGGAGTACTTGGTTGCTGGCAAGAAGATCCTGCGATGATTGTGACATCTTTGAATCCGGTTTGGATGGGGCGTTGCATCGATCATTGCACTTCTCTAGGAAAGACGTATGCAGGACTGCATAATAAAAACAAATGCTACTGCGGTGATGGTTACCAAGCAGCTGGTACAGCTGTCACTTGCGATAAAGATTGTGGTGGACCGTGTGGAGGCACAGATTCCTGGAGCATCTATGCTACATGAGTGCAGTACAGTAGATGAAGAACTAAGATTAATATTTGTCTTGTGACATAGATAAAAAACATCGGCTAGAATGTATCTAAATTGGGATACTACTACTGACTTTCTGTTCCCCACAAGCAATGAGACTCGATGAGAAAGACTTTTGACTTCTGCTCGACAATGCCAAGGGAAAGCATTTCTCGTGCCAAATCTTTTTCCTGCTTTCACTTCAGTGGAAACGTGCGCCTTTTTATTGCACGGGATACTTATTCTATGACTTGAATTTGTCATCCTCACTTGTCAAACTTTCGCAACTATTCAAATTGCCTTCTGCTCAACACTGCCAAGGGAAAAGCGGTTCCCGCAATAAATCTTTTTCACTCAGTTTACTTAACGAAATGGCGATCAAAAAGAGAGGTAAGTTGCCCGCTTGAGAAGGTCACAAAATCAGAAAATCAGATAAACCAACATTGACCAACAGCAAACAGTTTCGACCACAAGAAAGATTCAAGGAAAAACATGATGAGCTCAACGCACAGTCATGATCTATACAGTCGCCGCGAGGATGACATCATCTCGCACCAACAGCGATATTGCCTTTGTGCTGGATTTAGTACGCTGTCGGCATTGGTCACCAGTCTCATACGGATTGTCAATCTCTTCTTGGCCATATTCGTGGCAACCACGGAAGAGTTCCTTGCCGTTCAGATTTTCACCAGCGCCTTGGCAATCTATCAAGTAACCTGTCTAATGATACACATGAAGCGAGAAGAACGAGTCAACCCAAACACTTCCCTGTACGAGTTCACCAAATCGCAACATGAAACCATCAAAATGGTTCTAGCGGTCATTGTGGGACTGATTATGGCAGTATGTCTTCCATATCTAACATTTTGTACAGATGAAATCCAATGGCGCCATGCCGGTGGTGGTGTTCTCTTGTTTGTATTCCCTGCTAGTTTCGACTACCGCATTCGTCGATCCATACTGTACCTGTTGTTGGGCATCCGACCAGAAAACAAGAACGAAACTGGTGACACTGACATTGACAATGGCTTCATATTGCTTTGGATGGGAAAGTACTTTCAGATGCCAGTGGAATTGGGACCTGTCCTTGCGTATGCCTTGGCCGAACAACATGACGAAATCGTGTTGATTTCGACCTTGGTCATGACCATGGGTCTGATTCTGGTAGGGGTTGTCGCCAGAACTAGACCCGGCAATTGTTGGATCAGTCGTGATGGCAAGGTTCATATTCCAGTCAATGCCTCCAAAGCAGAATTGAGTTATGCGGGTTACTTGGCCTCCTACTATGATGCTTGTGACGACGAGCGAGTAGTTTATGTGGCTTCTGGAGATGTGGCCAAGGATATTCCCAGACTATTGGAATGGATTGCAGAATCCGATCTACCAGAAGCCGGTAGATGGGGTCAAGTCCTGGGATCTGGCAATGCGGAAACTGGAACGGAATTATGCGTCGAACAATGCTTTGGCAAGTCTATCCTGTACCGTCATGACGATGTCGTAGTAGGTTCGACCACCACCTACATTCACCTAGGACAGAAAGTTTTCGAGATTCAAGGAGGAGGATATATGAAAGAAACTTCATCCAAGCTCGAGCTACTAGACGGCGCTACATCAGTCAGTGGTAGCTGGGAAATTATGTGAGACCAAATATCTGGCTGGAACAACAATCGATCATGATAATGGCTGGTGGCACTTCATTTGCTCCAATATAAGCAAGGAGAAACGTTCACATTGGACCATAAAGGATATTGCCCACTACAAGATGAATTCAACAGTACCTATGCATATGTATTACATTTTATATTTTCAATCTCTCACTAGGCCCCTGCATTCCTATATTCTAGATACTACTAGAACGAATATCCCCTTTCCAAGTAATAATAAGAGAGATGAGATGTGTGTTTCGAATGTTTCGATTCGATTCGATTCAAAACGTCGCTTGACTTGCGTATACGGGTACCCGTATTCATGACGACGATAGAAAAAGCATCACGACTACCAACTGTACAGGCCAAACAAACTAGACACCATCAAAAAATTGCAGGCTCTTGCTTCCTCCAAGTAAAAGTGCGCTAAGTAATTATTTTTTATGTATTGTATTGTTTTGTGTATTGCTTCGCATCGTCCCACACCAGACGATGATGCAATGTACATTGGCGTATTGGAGTAGAATCATTTGATTTCATACCATATCTTCAAACAACAAGACCAATTCCAAACCAACATTCCATCTGCACTACTATCTATCGATAGAGATGCCATATTTTTTTAATAATCACCTTCGACACTATCGGCATTGATAGTCATGTCCAACTTTTCTCCAGTCACACGAGTATAAAGCGACAAGAGATCGTCGCAATCTCCTTCAAAGTGCGAAGTTCCATCAAAGGACTTGGAAATGAAACAGGCATCGGCCGAACCATCCGAGACTGGTTCGTAGGTAGTACTGACGGCAGTAAACCTCTTGAGAATGGGTCCGAGCATTTGCAAACCAGGAGCGACATCTTCGTCGGGGTTGCCCTTTTCGGACAGAGTCGAAACAATGGCCACGTAGATACCAGGGGCGGTCGTTTGCAGAGAATGTCCCATACAGCAGACAAATACGTCATTGACACGGTTGACTTGAGGTCCTGGAATGACGACTTGTACGGATTCGGCATTGTTGGTGCCGGGAATGGGATGATTCAAGAGGCAAATGCATCTAACGACAGTTCCCGTGGGACGAATCTTGTCTTGTTTGAAATAGGATGGATCACCAATGACCATGCCAGCCTTGGCCATTTGATTTCCAGCCTTAATACCACACGCCTTGCCGTCATCGCCAAAGACAATTTCGTCAATGTCTTGATTGAGCATAAAGGTACCTCCGTGAATGGCACAAATACGAGAGAAACCTTCTGGAAGTCCTCCCAAACCGTAGACGGGGTAAATGTAAGGAGAAGTTCCATACCGACTCAAGGAGTACATGTAGATTTGCAATTCTTGAATGGTTGCTAGGGCTGGCAAGTCCATGTGCTTTTCGTCCAATTGCAGACACATGGCGTGACTGATAAATTGATGGGTATCTGGCTGCAACCCAAAGTCCGTGTATAGTTCACGCATGGTCATTTTGGTAAGATCGCGACCCTCGTGAGTGGCAGGATTCTCAGGTTTGTATTGGTCCACAAAAATGAGAAACTTGCGAAAGCGTCTCTTTTCAAAGAGTCCCATGAGACTAGAAGAAAGAGCCTCTTCGGGGGTGGCAGGAACCTTGAGGATCTTGCCTCCCTTGTAGACATAGGAACCAGAGATTGATTTGAAGTCCAGATAGCGAGTGACCTTGGTGTGCAGAAGCATCTTGGTCAAGTTTCCACACGCCATGATGAATTTGGGAATGAGATCGACATTGTAGTCCCTGTTGGCTCCGAGATCGTCTGGGGCAGCTCCGGCTTGGAACTTTTCAAAGAGGTTTGTTAGGTTCAGAGACGCGCCGTCTCCTCCGTAGTAACCGTTGCGGTCCAATTGCAAGACGCGCTTTCCCTTGACCGAAAGCAAACCGGAAATGACGCACTCTTTCAAGCCAGTTCCAAGAACGATAGCGTCGTATTCTCCGTCTGCGAGGGCTTCCATGCCTTCAGGAAGCCAGTCGAATGTCTAACGAAGAGTGGATTGGATTCGTGAGTGAGTGAGTGAGTGAGGGTTGTATTGGTGATGAATGAGCAAGTTCTACAAAGGTTTGTGCTTTGCACCAAAATCTTGGCACTCAATTCCATTACGATTTTCTCAACGAATTGCTGCTTCTAGACGCTCAAAAGCTGTCCAAGTCATTCAAGCCATTCAAGCCATTCAATCAAGCAGTAATTCATCGCTTACCTTCTTTTCTTCAGCCATTTTGATGTATTTTTGATCGTCAAACGAGACACTAAACAATTGTCAAGTGTTGTTGTCATTTTCCAGGATCGATCTACGCAGGAGAGACACATGCCCGACGAGTCACCGGATCGAAATGCATGGGCTTGATTCGAATTTGTCGCATGCAGGCTCGTCTGTGGTAGGTAGTTTACTGGAGGTGTACATCTTTGCACGCAAGCCGGCATAAGCTGGACGTGGACTGATGCAAGACCCAACGGATGTAATCGAAGAGGTCATCGCTTTGGAACCATTCGAGTCTAATAGTCGATACGATATGCGATTCGAATGGATTACACAATCAATCAGCAGTATTATAACAAACCCCGCGGTATTTCTTGAGATTTCTTTCGTGACTCATCGTTCCTATTATTCTATTATAAATTGTTCACGTACATCCCAGCAATCGACACCAGCAACAAGACCGACTGACTCACTGTATAGCAACACATACACATTCAACATGTCAACGATACTCGAATATTTCTCAAAAGGCTACCAAAATCTACGGGAACTTCAACAATCAGAAGATTACGTATCGTTGAATGCGTCAATCCATACGATTGTCTTTTACACCTTGATCCTCACAGTCGTATTGGAAGTTTGGTCACTTCCTACCCTTCAGCTACTGTGGAACAAGCAACCCAATGGACGTGAATTGTATGCCAAGGCCTTGTTTTGGAACATCTTTAATCAATACGCATTGGCCATTCCACTCTATTCCGTTGTGGGGACCTTCATGACTCGCAACGATGATTACCATTATTATCATGACAATAATGCAATGATCCGCAACTTGGTCGAGGTGGTTTGGATCTTGGGAGGTCATGCCGTTGGGTACTATCATGTCCACAAGGCCTTTCACTTGTCACCCAAATGGTACAAGTATCACAAATTTCATCATCGATTCAATTCCTACGTCCCACCTTCGGCGGCCAATGCGGTAGAACCAGTCGAATACATCTTGGCCTATCTATTGCCCTTTGTGGTGACCCTTGCCCTTTGGCCGCCATTTTTCACTCCAAAAATTCATCGACACAATGTGTCCATGGCCACCTTGGTGATTTCTGTATTGAATTTGTTGGTACACACTCCAAAATTGGAACAAAAGTACTTAGTGGCGTCTACTACTACTTCAAACAACAACAACAACAACAACAACAACAACAATTCTTGGACTAGGTGGTTTGTTTCAACGGAAGATCATTTGAATCATCATCGCAAATTAAAGTGTCATTATGCATCACCGACCTTTAATGTCGACAACATTGTGGATGACGTCAAAGATGCATGGTCGTCTGCAACACTGAAGTAAGTAAGTAAATAACTGCGAATGGATGATGAAGGAATAGAAGCCCTGTGGGTTTGGGGAATGAATGAACTAATGAATGGAAGTAGATGATAGTAAGAACCAACTAAATTATCAAACTAATCATATAGGACATTATTTTTTTAAAGTAGCTACGCACAATACCTCTTATGGGTTATAGTGATTGTTTCAGTATAATGACGATTCAAATTCTGGCCGTGCACGACCTTGCACTTTCATCCATCCATGAATTCCAAATGATCATGTTCCTTGACGAGAAGTGCAGCTGCAGGTTCCCCTGACCGCAGTACCGACATATTCCATGGTCAGCATGCCCAAATCTTTGTGAATTAGGCGGTGGCAGTGCAGCATTAATTTGCCGGTGAATTCGGTGGTCGGTGGGACAGAACCAAATTTTGCCCGTTCCCTTGATCGTGTCTTGCCAATCGCCGACCTTGCTGTATCCAGTCTCTAATGTAGCTCCGACCAACTGAAAGGGATACACGTGTTGACGATAGGGATGCGTATTTGCCGAAAGGTTACAAGCAGCAATGGCACCAAGATAGGTCTGATGGAGGTTGGAAGCTTAAGTACAATGGAGAAGAATTTGAGGTCAACATGAAATTCTCTGTTGCCTTTGTCATTGGTGACACAGCCATGCATGACAAGCTTTGTGGTGAGGCTGGTGGTAGCTGAACCCATGGCATGAAGTCCCACTGTCGGCATTGCAATTGTGCATCTGAGGATCTTGAAAACCCCAAGGAAAAGCAATCTTGGATCCTGTTTGACCCTGACAAGGTAGATCCCACATTGGATGGACACACTGCTGAATACTTTACCAGTATAAGCCATAGCATTGTGAATAATGCCTTTGATCCTGTCTGCTTTGGTGTTAATCTCTGCAAAATTGATTGGGGAACCCCAGCAGAGACACTGCACATGGTACTATGCAGCATGAGGAATCCGTCCAACAAGCAAGATATCTCCTACCTGAAACTGTCCCATATCTAGAACTAAATGCGTTTATCTAATGTTGAGTCTCATTTCTGAAAGTTTCTGTTGTTGCAGTTTCTGGTAAACTCATTGACATTCATATACCCACCTCCAGAGGTTGCCAAGGATTCCATTCCTGCTGTGTCTTTTTTGCTCCGTTTGCTAGTAGGTGAGCCAGTAGGAAAAGGCTCATCTTCCAGTCTTGTCCTCTTTGCTGGGCTTCTGATCTCTCTGTCTTTTTGCAATTGTTCTAGCTCATCATTGGCATCTTTTAGATAGGAAGGAAGCTCCTTAATTTTTCGCAGTTGGTAGTCCTTATCTTTTAGCCATTTCCATTTCCCTTTGTATGGCTTTTGGGATGCTTTCTTCCCTCCATCAGGTCCAATGTCATCCAGAGCATGAATGTGGTCATTCCACACTTTGTTGACTGCAATCTCAATCTGGGTATTGGATAGAAAGGCCAAGCCCACTGCCTCCCAAGCTGCTGTACTTGATGCTGTTTCTTGTCCATAATGATTTGGAGGGTCAGGATGCCAGTCCTCAATATCTTGAGGCACATTCCATTGATTGTCCTTGGATCCGTCAGTTTTCTGACAAATCTGTCCGTCTTCATTCAAGTCATAGAGAAACCAAGAGCTATTTGGGTACACCTCAGGAAAGTGGGATGGAAGCTTTCCCATCTCATTGTCAACCTCCATGTCTGGGTCCGTGTCATGTTCCAGTGTTTGTTTGGATCAAGACAGACACCTATCCAGGACCATACTGGCAATGTCTCTTCTGTAACTCTCCAATCCCATTTGGTGTGGATATAATTTGAAGGATCTCCTCAATATTGTCTCCTTCCAAAGCTACTTCTCTGTTTCCAACATTCAGGTGGTTGCTTGTGGAAATGGGGAAGAATATGTGTTTCAGGTGCTCTCCTGGTGTTATTAATCTCACAGAGATGGCCAGTCAAGTGAAATGTAACAGGTCGTCAGTTTCAAATGGATGCTTCCAGATCAATTGCATCTGCTGGCATCTTTGGATCATCACATTCTGCAGGAATCCAAGTGGTAGGTTTTCTGGAGCCATCCACCCATGACCACGTGCTTGGTTTCCAAGGCTATTGATCCATGCGCAGTGCTGGCCAGATCTGTGTGTAGATGGTACGACACGAATATTTATGGCAAAGAGTAACATTTCTGTTTGAAAATGTTGCGTGGCATGTTACAAAGCGAGCAACGGTACCGTAAAAAATACTGCCAAAAAGGTATAAGTAACAGTGCGTTTGACGCAGATGACTCGAAATTCATATATGTATTTTGAGCAATGTACAAAATGTAGAGATGTGCCACTAAGCTATGGACTCCCCGTGGCAAGATGGGTCTCCCCTAAATACATGAAGTATCTTTGGGGTTGGAAGTTTACATCTCACTTCCCCATTTGTCACAGGTACTGGATATTCTTACAGAGCAACGGTACCGTAGTTATGTTACTTTCGTAATATTCCACATATAATGTACTAGTACCCATTTTTCTTGTACACATTCCAAGATGATGTAGCTTTTAATCATCGAAGTATTACTTTTACATTACTAGTGTACATGAAGCCAACAAGCATGTTGGGCTGGCTGAATAATCCTACTGCTGCTCTACTTTTGTTTCTCCTGCTTGTGTGGCAGAACCCATAACCAGATGCAAGTATTCAATATTTCCATCTCCGTCCGTTGTTTCAGGCAAGACTTCAGCAAGCCACGGATGCCGTCTTGCCATTCGAACGGACGTTCGTTTTGTTTCGTCTTGATCCATCATACTTGTCATCAGTTCCCGGACGATAGTTGAAAGATTTTCTTCAAGACGGTACGCTACTTTTCGTTTCGTTTCGTCCTCTTTTCCTGATTTGCGCTTGCGACCGAAAACGGAACCTATAAATTTGCTCAACATACTGTTTTGTCGCGCAATGGCATCTTTGACACAGGTGTGTGGTGGACATCCCGTCATCATGTACCGAATGTTGCATCCCATACTGTAGGCATCCACCAACACGGAATAGTCAGCCACGTTGTGCGAAATGGTATCAGTAACGACTCGGGGATCCTTATGTTCTTCTTGATGAATATCTTGCATGATTTCAGGTGCGACAAAGTCTTCAGTTCCAACAGCACTCATTTGGCGTCGAAACGTATTGCCCATGCAATCATCTTGACGTTCAAACTTTTTAGTGGAGACATCCTTAGGTGTCAAGGCACGGGCAAAACCAAAATCAATCAAAGTGGGTTTCCATTTGTTTCGTAGTGTTGGCCAATCTTGATCGTCCAGATTATCGACACTGTCCCATATAGAATCATCCTTGAGATCCGCCCCAGTTACTATTATATCTGTGTAGCAAGAGTAAGGAGGGATGAGATTGCTTCAAGAAGTTGGGATTTTTTTGCAGATAAAAATACAATGCAGGAGACAACTCACTCTCAGGTTTAATGTCTCGATGGACTACTGCATGGCTGTGCATATATGAAAGTGCATCGACAATTTGCGCCGTCACAATTCGGACAAATAAGGTAGAGAGGGCACCACCATGTGATAGCAATGCTTGGATTGTTGGGCCTTTGGCATAGCTGAGTGCCATCGCACCCGGCTCATACTCGGTCGGTTCCCAACTGTTGACGACTCTCATAATGTTTGGATGATTCAACTGTCGAAGAATATCTGCTTCGCGATGCGAATAAGCCCAATCATCTTCGGTGCCATCGACAATTTTTATGGCGACATATGATTCCTCTTGGCCTTTGACTGGTTTCTTTGATTTTCCCAGCAAGACGCAAGCAAATCCGCCTTTTCCCAAGTATCCAACAGGCTCGTATATGTTACGGACCGCCTGTGGCCATTCAGCAGAAGTACAAATCCCGGCCATGGTAAGTATGCTTGTTTCTGTGTGTTTGTGTTGTTGAATTCTGTAAATTGTGTGGAAGATTTGAGGATTGCGGGAAAAGTGACTTCAAAAGAATGGCCTTTTGGTGTTCGCATTCGTTTTTTTGGTTTTCTATATGTCCGACATCCTGAAGTCTTCACGGACACCGGTTGAATTCAGGCCAAAATAAAGAATAGAGTAGCCGCAACATCGGGCTAACTGTCCATCTCATCTGGATGCAGTAAATAACTTCTTCCTCTCTGAACACCTCATGATAAGTAAACGGTCGTAAAAGTAGTCATTTCTCCTTAGCCACCTCCAAAGCCTACCCAACTCACACTCGAAACAGTCTGGAATGCATTCGATGTAGGAAGTCCCCTTACCGCCATTAGATACTCAAAGTTGCTCCCAAATGTAATAAAGGCCTTTTCAATTTCCCGCTCTACTTCCGATAAAGGCGGATAGAAGATGGAGGTTTCGGAAAAGATAACGGTTGTAAAGAAGAAAGTTTCAATCGGCAAGGAAAGCGCTGAGAACCCAACCACTTGAGTGAGCGCTTCTTTGAAAGAGATGATAAAGGTAGACCCATACTTTCTGTCAAAGTAGTCATCAAAATATAACTGAGTCACCTCTCCTAATTGCACAAAGTCCTCATCGGTAGTCTCAATGTTTCCTGACGTGTTATCAAAAAAGAAATTCAACGAATAGGTTGACGCTTCAATTGGAAAGCCAGGAGGTTCGGCCGTTGGTGCACTAGTCGTGCCCCGTGGAGTGGGTCCAGGGGTGGGATCTCTTGTTGGAATAACACGAGTAGGTTGATCCGTGGGCGAGTGTATTTCCGATGGCGAAATAGTAGGCATTGACGACGTGGTAGGTACGGATGACGATGTCGGCAGTGCGGTTGCTGGTGTCATTGTTGGCTGGGTCGTCGTCGGAAGGCTCGTCGGTCGATGGGTGGGGAACAGGATGGTTCCTGATGAAACAGAAAAATGACAATTATTCAGAATGCATATTGATTCCATTACAGGGTACTCTTGAATGCCGGTAAAACTTACCTTCTCTTTTGCTGCTTTTCTTGGAACTCCTGCTCGAAGAAGTGGCTGAGCTTGATGATTTCTTGGATGATGACTTTTTTGTAGCGGTCTGTATCGGTACTTGGTGGTCGTGCCGGATGACATCATCGTCTCTTGTGCGATTGCGAGTATTATGATTACTTATTCTTGTTTTGATGTCTTCTTCCCCAAATATAGGAAGATCGGGTCGGCGGTAGCTATCTCGCATCGATCTTTGTAGCATAGTATTTATTGTTTCAGATGGTATTGTCGAGTTATTCTTTGCTGGCTGGGCATTTGTCTCACATCCCACTTTCAAAACGCAAGCCAACAACAATATCACTGACGCCGAAAAGGAATCCATTCGTTTCATGATGCTTGCTGTTATCTTCTTGGCGTGTGGCGGCCCGCTGATGCCCCTTTTGATAGTCAACCGATGCTGCTGATGGATGATTTTCAAGCCAGTATCGTCATTGAGTTACCTTCAAAACCGCATTCCAGCTGCTGGATCTCAGGTTTTTTCGCCGATATCGGTTCACCATAGTTATTTTTGGCTACCGGTCGACGAATATTGTCGAGCTCGACAATTATTTTGTGGACGACAGGAGAGAATGCAATACCAAGATTGTATCAATGCATCTGGGTCCAGCAAGTCCACTGTCATTGGAGAAGCTGCTGCGCTGCGCGACGCGAAACAAATGGACTGGGCTGGCTCGCTGGCTGACCTTGTTTGGTCTTTCAGGGTCTTTTCCAAAAGCTCTCGTGTCTGCATCAAACGCATGGCATCGAAATAGCAAAACCCAACATCTCCCCCCGGACGTGTTGTTACCCGCCTCATTATTCCCGTGAGTCTATCATCATTGACGCTTCAATTATTATTGCATCCTTTCATAGAAACCATCTTCTAACACTCTCTTTTGCTGTTGACGCTCTGTCTCTTTCCAGTCAAGAAACAGGCAATACACGTACAGAGTACCATTATTGATATAATGAGTGGCAGCAACAGCAACAGCAAAATAAGCACGAGTTCAAGTTCGGGCACGACTGTGGTGGGTGCGAAACCTTCTGCCAAAAAGGGTAGCAGTACTTCTGCATCATCCGCATCAACTGCAGCTACTGCAGCTCCAGCAGCTGTGGCAGTTCCAGTAACTACTACCACTCCTCGAGCACCTTCCAATAATAGTAATTCAATCAATGATACCGCCCTTACGCGTGCTCCAAGCACGCTGAAGAAACTCCCAAGAGAATCCTTTACCAAACAAACCCCGGCCCCTCCAAACTCGTTTCAAGAGGCTCTGGAGGAACTGGACGAGGAAAAGCAGATTTCGTATCTCATGTTAGGAGCTACAGAAGTGCTTCCTGACTTTAATGTGAAGCGAACTCATCCTTACAGTTACTTCTTTTTCAAAAAGAAGGGATACAAGCAAGTCTTTCAACCCAACAAGAACATCATTGTTCAGGAAATCAAGCGTCGTCAGCCAGAAGCCAAACCGAATCAGAACAATCGTTCGAACGATGAGCTGATGGAAATGTTGCGAGAGCGCTGGCCTCTTGTAGAGCCCGACAAACAGTACATTGTCCAAAAGGAAAAGGACTATCGCAAGCTTCTGGTGAATGCTTTGCATCCCAGAGAAGTGATTTGTACGGACGAATTGGCCAATCTAGCCGCCGCATCTGCCACTGCGGAAGGATTGGCGGCTGTAGCGGCGATTTCCGGGAGTCACAACAATTCCTCTCGCAAACGCTCCATTGGGGAGACAGTAGTGGATCTAGCATCAAGCCCATCCAGAAGAAGTACCTTGGGCAAGGTTGTCGGGGGTGGTGGTGGCGGTGGAAGCAATTTCCATTCGTATTATGGCGGTGGCGGCAAGAGACGAACTAGTACTACTTCTAGTACAAATGGCAAGAATGGCCATAGCAGCACTGCTAGTAGTAGTGCATTGGAAACCATGCTGCTTCACGCTGCCAATGCATGTGCAGACAAGTTGTCCTATGCCAATCTGGCCACCACCGTTGAAAGCTTGAAAAAGGAACGATTTGACTTGAACTTGAAAAAGCTACCCTTGGTCAGCAAGCACACTCCAGGCAATGTTCAATCCATTGCCTTTATGGACAATCGTATCAAGGAGATTACGGATAGTATCTTGGTGTATGAAGCCAAGATGGGAATACCAGCAGCTTCGGCGGATGTGTGAAGAAGTACTGATCGGGAGTAGTTAATGCTACATTTTTACCGTATGTGTGATAGATGTGTTGCACGATCTACAGTCCTACAGCTAAATCCAGCATAATGCTACTATAGTTCTATTTGGTTTCACTACTTGGATGAACCTGTTTGTCAATCATATTATCCAACTACCAACGAATGACACCCCCCATACCGATAGGTACTGTAGGTGCAATAAGCATCTGATGAGGATCTTCCGAATACAACGCGGTACAGTACTGTAGGAGTACTGGGAAGTGGGAATTCCCTTTAGTGTTGGGCGCCACCTCACATGTTCAAATGTACCGGGTAGAGAGATGGAGAATGGCGAATGGAGAATGGTGGAGTAGAACCCACAGCACCCACACATTATTGGATTTCGTGGAACCCGCATCATCCGTTCCAATAGACAACCATAAAGTACCCATGGTACTGAAACACGCAATACTGCGTACGGCACCGTACCGTACCGTGTACAAGTGCTGTATCATTGTACTGTGGCGAGTGTGGACAACGTGTTCGAGATCTTTACTGTGGTACCTGGAACTGTACCGTACCCTCTTTGGATCGGATTATTTGTCGATAATTCCAAGAGTGATAGCATTACGAATCAGAAGTCGACACCATTGGAATCGATAAGTATGATTTTCTTCATCTGCTATATAGGTACACTACTGTATGTATCATGGATTTTGGAGAAACATTATATAACATCCATTCCAAAAGAAAGTCATACTGTACAGCTGCACAGAGTAATTAGCTCGTCTTCTGATGATGGGACATAACTTTTTCCCTTTTACACAATAAAACATCTGGGCAAGAAACTCGTTCTTGCGAACCAATTCGAACTGGATTCTTTGTCCTGTGCGTGTATGCCAATCAGAATATGCCATGTTTCGTGGAATGAAGTACCATATATTGTGCAGATGCAGACGGCATACGACGAAATGATAGAGAAGGTAGTGACCGTATCAATAAACACTTAACGACAACGTGTCAAATTCCCATTTTGGTGTGGTTCGCCCTAAGTGATGCCAGGTGAGGCTTGTGAGCTGGTTCTAGCGTGGCCTCTGCGAAGAACAAATGTGTCCCTCTCAATTTGTTTTTTTTTTGGTGTGAATAGTTGAAAACACATTTTCATACATTTCACATGTACCGGTAACCTCGGAAGGCAAACACAATCAAAAAATCACCAAACCAACAAACAAATCAACCAAAAGGCCAACGAACAAGCCAACCAAAGAACCAGCAAACTCTACGCAATGTGCCAACCGACGATACTCGTACCCCTGTCGAAAGGAATGACCCTGCTTTCTTTGAGGAAAGATGACTGCCGAAGAGGCACGCAAAGTCAAGCGCAATCCCACAGTGGAAACGCAAAGTGGAAAAAGATTGGTGATACTGAGGAGAAGAAACAAATCCGCTGTTCTGTGGAACTGTTGACCTTGTTGCGCAATGACCTCGTTGCTTGCATTCTATCCGATGTAAAGGATAAGGAAAACGAGAAGAAACAGCAACCCAAGAAGAAACAATCTCAAACGAGACCCCCTACAAAAAAGAGAAGAAAGCTTGGTCATGAGGAATCGAAAGGCCAGTAATTGACCCAGCTGCTCAGCCTGAGCAGACTTTGCTGAAACCAAACTTCGTGAGTGATACTTGGGGACAGGTTTGTCCTTTCGGGAAATTTATGTGGCGCCAATTTGTGCGCTTGTTTCCTTCTGATCGAAAGACAGCTTTGCCGTCATCTGTCTGAATACGATGGATCGGAAAATCATCACAATGGGTATACCGGTACCCGGTACAAGAATAATCAAGCTGTACAAAAGCTGATCAGATGAACGGCAAGTCACAACTCAGAGATTAAAACCCTTGTTCGAAGGAGGTGGAACTCTTTCCGCTTATTAGGCAAGCGAACTCCTTGTGTTGGCAAGAAGTGCAATATACCGGTACGGCTGCCAATATTTTGAACCATTTTGCTATTTTTGCTACAGCAGATATTATACACTTTAGAACATATCATTATTATTATTATTGCTAGCAGAACTACTGATTTGCAATATTCAGTAGACTACTAACAGCCAGCCTCCTTCGGATCGGTTTCTAGTGCAATCGTGAATCAATCTGCTCATCTTCATCTTGTGCGCCCTGAAAGGCATCAATGCAATGCTGGCTGTACAAGTACAATAAAGCTAATTTGGTCTGGCTTCCGTAGTTCTTGTGAGTTTGCATGGTATTCATGTTGGCCAATCCTATTTTACACTACAGTATATGGATGTTACCCCATCTAGATCACAGCCAGGTAGCGTCTGGCGATCCTCCGTTCCGCCTGAATACTACAGGAACTGAATTATTGTTTGCTCCTGATTTTACCGGTACCGGTGTATATTCATCTATTGAAATGATGGAGAATGCAGGAAACAGTACTATACACGGTACACTACGCGAACCGCGGTACCGTATGTCTGTCGTCAAGAATATATTTGATGAGATTGTGAATGAATCGCGTTTGTCCGTCGTCCAACTTATATCACAGTCTGTACGAAACCGGTATTCATGAGATCGCGTCTTTGGTCCTCCACAGCAGTCAGTTCTTGACTTTGCACCAGGTACCATGCCTGGCATTCCTTCCTGAGATCGCGTGTGCCAAACGTCTTCTGACTTCTGACCATGATCACGGAACCCGCCGTACCTGGTACCGGTACCTGGTACCATGGCTTGTTGTCGGGTATGATTATGGGAACACTTGATCGAATGTCGTACCAACGTCTAACTGTTGTCTATGTGAATATGCCAACGGTATTCAGTCCAAAAAGACATTCTTAGTGTGTGAATATATATATTGTATGTTACAGATACTGGTATGGTACAGATGGTGTTTAGCTCCGGTTCTGCAGCCTTTGGCATTTACTCTTCCCACGAAAAGAAACAACCTTTTTTCGGAACATCGTTCTTTACACCATCTTGGATTAGATTCTTTGTCTATCCTGAAAGCTGAATACCAATCAGATTTCGGAAATTGCGGATTCATTATTTACTATTTTCTTCAGATGCAGCTGACAAAGAGTGACCTGTATCAGTGATACTTAACGTAGCCGTTCTGAATTCCCATTTGGTGTTGTTCGCCATATGTGATGTTTCTGATTGCGGCACGCAAAGTTGAAAGTGGTCTCGCAAAATTGTTCAAAGATTCTCTTCGCCACAAAATATTGTGAAAGAAACCAACCAAAAGGAAACAATCAATCAATCAATCTAGCAATCTAACAAGCCACCCAACTAACAAGGCAACCAACATACCAGAGACACAATGTGCCATACAACGATGCTCATGCCCAAGCCTAAAGGAATGGCCAGCTTTAAAAGAGGAGGGACGAAAAGCCAAGTGCAATCAGTGAGTGGAAACGCGAAGTGGAAGACGATGGATGATTCTGAGAAGAAGACGCAAATCCTTTGCTCTGTGAAAATCTTGAGCTGGTTGCGCAAAGATCTCGTGGATTGCATACTTTCCGATAAAAAGGAACAGGAAAACGAGACGAAGCAGCAAGACGAACCCAAGAAGAAACAAACTCCAACGAGATCCACTACGAGAAAGAGACGAAAGCTGGGTCATGAGGAACCAAAAGACCAGTGATTGACTCAGCAGACTTCTGCTTGGATGAACACCAAACTTCGAAGTAAACTTCGTGATGTGGCGCCAAATTGAAAATTGTGCGCTGTTTTGCTTCTGATCGAGATAGGTACAGCATTTGCCGTCATTACTGACAAGAGATCTCGCACATGAGCAATCAAACAGCTGGACAGAAGCTGATCAGACGATCGAGGACGATTCACAAAGCAGAGACAATCCTTTGTTCGGAAAGAATGATCTTTCTGCTTTTATCAGGAAAGCGAACTTTCTTGGGTTTCCTACTGTATGGTTTTGCTATTTCTTTAGCTACAGCCGACTACTATATACTGTTAGAACATGCTATTATTTTATAGTTTGAATGACTTTCAATCTTAGCCAATGAATTGCTAGGTACTAGTACCTCCTCAGCCATTTGGATTGATGAAGGGAATATGATGCCTTTGTCGATGTTGAGAGGCATGATCATTCCAGTATCTAAATCCGACGGTGGCCTGTCTATGTGTATATACGAAAGATGTGTATCTTTGTAATAGAGTGTAACAATAAAACTGGAAAAATAAAATATAAGAAGTGCAGTAAAAATGCACCGGCACGGTTGGTATGCATTGATATCAACTATATATACGAGTATGAGTGTGTGGCAAATATTATGAGCTCTTTTAGGCCATTTCTTGTCCTATGTTTCAATGACGGCACCGCATCGAAGTCCTGCTGCCTCCACTGTGTACGGTAGGGTCAGAGACACTGCGGCGAAATATTGCCCATGTCGTCTCCAACAGATGGAACTCTCTCGAATTCATTCGAATCCTTTTAACCGTCGGTATATATTGTCGTTGTATTGATTCGTTGTATACCAAACATCGTCGTCTCTGCGGGTACCTAATAGCTCAAGTGTCGTCGTCGCAATAAGTCATCTCCAAACCTGCTTCTCCTGTCAGTCTTACTACCCTTGCTGCTCCATATAGTGGATATCTATTGCAAGGATGCCTACGACGTCTCAAGAAGTGCTCAGTAACTGCTGTTGCTCTATACTATTTAAATTTCTTCCCAAAAAGGGGGATTTTGGGCTGGTTTTTAGTGGACAGGTCAGGGGTCATATCCATCGCGCGTTCATCATCTCATCATCCGTCATCGCATCCACATAAAATAATCTTCAGTCTCAGCATCTGCAATCCAACACAATAAATCATTGCATCAACATCAAACGTCTTCAAGTACCACCATCCTTTCACCCGAAAAGAAACCATGGTCTATCACAAATCAAGGACACCAACAGGCATTGCATTGCGATTGGTCATAATCTGCTTGTTATCAATGGCTGGGCATTCCTTAGCATTTTCAGCCCGTCCTCAGCCAGTAGCAGTATTCCGACATTATTTGCCTACTTTTTCATCTTCCTCTTCGGTATCATCAATGCCATGCATCCGAGCCAGTCCACAAGCAACGTCACGACTGTCACCACTGTCATCACTGTCACCAATTACAACCAAAAGACACTACTCCACATCACTCCAAGCTTCTCCTATTTCTTCCAGCATCAGTGACGACGACGACGAGGAAGGCGAACCAAACATTTTGGAGAAATTCGCATCCCTGTTCAGCACCAAGGCCGCCACCAAGGTTTCTCAGAAATACCAAAAGATTGCCCCCATTACACAAAAGACGGGTCTCTTGACCTTGTTTCGAGTGGGAATTCCTTCCATCTTGAGTGGCATCCTTGCCTTTTATGCCTTCCCGGCATTGTCCTTGTGGCTCTGCAGCTTTTGGAATGACGCGGGGGTCTTTGCCGTCCTGAGCCAAGATTCGTCTCAGTTTGTGCAAAACTTTTTGACCGTCGCCGGATTGTTGTTTAGCATTTTGGTGGGTCAGACGTACTACTTCATGTACCAGCAACAAGAAATGGTGTACTATGCCTTGTTTAGTGAAGTCACCGAAGCGAAATCACTATTGGAACAAGTGGCGTTGGTCTGTCAAGGCCGTACCATGTATCCCAAGGTTCTGTCGGCCATTAGCAAATATGTCAAGACGGATTTGAAAAAACTGTCAGCGGATCCGGCTGTACTACTGAGTGCCCGTCCCGTAGACGATCCTTTGGAGACCATCATGTACCTGACCAGCGTCGGAGTGCCAGGAACCGTCTACGATACCGTCCGATCGCTACGACAAGCTCGAGCGCAACGCTTGGGAGCCTTGCAACGCAAATTGCCGACGGTGCACATGTTACTCTTGTGGATTTTGGCTGCCATTGAATTGGTCAGCTTCCCCTTGTTGGGAGCGGGTACTCAGAGTATTGGTGGATACAATATCTTGACCATTGAAGGATGCTTGTTTGGAGTCATGACTGCCAGTATCGTATTGACCTTGAGGGTAAGTTTGCTGTGACTGCGTATGAGTGTGATTGTAAATATCTGATGTGACTACCGGTATATACATATGATGATCATGATTGTTTGCTCATGCCTCGTATGCCTCTTGCCTCCTGCATTCCTCCTTGAATTTCATAGGTGGTTGCTGAATTGTGGAGACCCGCTGGTGGTGCCTACAATGTGGACAAGGTATTAAAGACCATGGTGTCAGGATTGGAAGAAGAACTAAAAGCTCGAATGAGTGGAAAGAAGTTGGATAACATGAAGGAAAGCTACCCCAGTCCAGCCAAGACCATTGATGGAGACTACCTGGGACGAGCTAGCGATCGTATTTCGAAGCAGAATCCATAGAAAAGTAAAAAGTGCATTTGGGGCATTTCACTTCCTTCGTTATCATCCTACATGCTGTGGCATGGCATTTCATTCACAACACTGTAGATAGAAAGGAATGGCTGATGTTGATGGTGTATTATTTATTTTGCATCTATTGACATTGTATTTTCTAAAAAGGATGATATTTCATCTTTGCACACGTTGAGTTGCTTGATGCATGTTCATTCTAGTTTGTCTTTTGAATAGAGTAAATATGAGGATTGGCTGATGTTTTATTTTGCATCCATTGCAATTTCTTATTTTAAAATGTCATAGTTCATCTTCGAACTTATTGTTCCCATTCAAAGTTTGTATTATTGAAGGTCTGACGACTTTTGAGAGTCGTCATGAATAGTATTTTGAGCACTGCGCTCCCACCTGAATGCTTATTCGATAATAATATCTGCAATAAGTCAGTCACCTTATTCCGAAGCCATCCACCATCATATCTTCCTCTAGCATTATGTTCAAGCATGATTTCATTGATATGTACTCCTTAACTTACGCGACCACCTACTGCAATTTTTTGGTGCAGCAGTACCCCTGTAGGCCGAACTCCCAAAGATTGAGTTATGGCCTTGATGTTGCAGGAGGGTCAAACGGTAGAGGTAGATGAACATATCATGAGTCGCTCTTTTTGTTTGTTTTCAAAAGCTCTCATTCATTTTTAGAAGGATCCGTAGTATCCTTCACGAAGGAAATGTTGGCGAATAGGTTGCAGAGGTCCACGACGGAAGGGTCCTTGGACTTGTCGCAACTGGCTTGATACCTAGCAGAAGCAGCCTCAGATTGGAGTATGACCGATGGTGTCATTTTCTTTCTCAAATCGGTCATGGTCAAACAGGGTGTTTCCAAGACAATGGATAAATCTTCCATGGAGATGAGCCCTCGATCGATGACACTGTTGGCATAAATGATAGTAGTCATAGCGACGACGAAGAGTAGGGCAATGACAATGGCACCAAAAGTGGTCGAGGAGTCCAATACTACCTCCATTGCTGCAATCGATTGAGCGTCCTCAAGGGATGGCAACGGTGGAAGTGGTGCTGGGACGAATGGGTCCTTGGTAGTGTAGGATTGAATTCCGTCGAAAACATCTCTGACGATGAATTCATGGTCAAATAAGCTTGGCCAAGCTGGAGCTGCAGAAAGCAGGTCAGTGGCAAAATTTTCTAGCTTTTTCTTGTAGACTCGGTGGTACTCGACTTGGAACTCTAGGTTGTATGACCATGCTTCAAACTTCTGGATGAAGAGTTGGATCTTGGAAAACATGGCGGCAGTCACTTCTTGGATATGTGCTTCTGCGGAAGACATGACGGACTCGTAGTCGATGGATTGGTGGAATGGTTCGTATTCAAAGATGGCAGACATGGCATCAGTGAATGCTTGGGTGAAGGCTTCGTACTTCTCGTTAAAGTCTTGTGCGAAAGCCTGGATCGACTCGTAGTTGATCGATTGCTTGTATGCGTTGTACTCCATACTGAAGAACTCGAAGATGGCAGACATGGCATCAGTGAATGCTTCGGCAAAGGCTTCGTACTTCTTGCTGAAGTCTTGTGCGAAAGCATTGATCGATTCGTAGTCGATAGACATGATAAACTCCGCAAGGGAGAAAGAAGGAGCACCAGTGGATTCCATCTCCACGGTGGTTCCAACAAAGTCAACAGTGGAAACAACGTTTTCGTTGGCCAAGCGGTAGACTTGAATGGATGGACGAGTGTAATTTGCACTCATCAAGGAAGGCATGGCCATTGGCTGCATGGCCAAAAGAAAGAGCATCATGATGATGGATCGAAGAGATAACATGGTGGAAAGTGTTTTGTTTGTTTGTTTGTTGTTGTTGATGTTGCTGTTCTTTGAAAGGACTGAATCGATGCAATTGATCGAATGTCAAAAATATGAGCAGATTCTGTTGTGAAATGAAGTTGCTCTGCTGAAGCAAGAAACGTCTCGACTTTGGAAAGATGTACCAAGCTCAGTAGAAAAGCTAGTGATGAGATCCGTTTCAAACGGAATCGAAAAGTTGTGAGCATAGTTTTTTTCCACGATTTCGGCTCAACGGCAACCTGTGTTCCAAACCGATTTGCTCTTTCGTCTTTACGGTTACTGGTGAAAGAAGAATTGGTGCCTAGCATATCATGGATCTTGTTCTCCATGGTCGCATTGTTGGTTTCGCACCATGGCTGTACTATTAGTCATCATTATCGCCATTGTCTGATTTTATCACAAGGTTTTCAACGAGGAAAATAACGCTGTGAAAAAAACTCGATTGTCAACCCTATTTGCACGCGTGGCGCGTCAACGCGGTCTATCCAAGGACTGTCTTGCGGTTATTATTCGTGAATGAATAAATTTGAATGCGATTTTATATATCACATCGACACTTGTTCGGACACTTTGAACTGCCCGAACCAGGATGTTCTTCAGCCAATCAAAACAGTGCGAAGCCAAAATTGAAAATCTTCGCTTCCCATCTGCCTCACATCAAATCGATATATCTATCATTCGTTCCAAAAGAGGAGAAGGAATCAAAAAAATCACACGAGAGAAACCGAATAAGTACAAAGTACAACCTCTGCTCTTATTTTCCACCACTCAAACATACAAAGAAATCGAACACAATCGAAGAATCCAATAGATTGTTTAATCTTTGCCGTTTATTGCACATTCATACATTCATTCACACATTAATACAATCAAGACACACGCAAACATGAAATTCACTACCTCGCTTCCTTTGTTGATGTTGTTGGCTCCTCTGTGCCTTGAACATGTAAACGCCTTTCAAGTTCGTCCACGTTCCTCCTCCTCTTCAACAACAACAACAACAACAACAACAACGACAACGCAATTGGCCGCCAGTGGAACGACCTCTCCCATGGTACTTCAAGCCGGAGGTGGCATTCCATTGGTCCCTGCAGGAGATCGTCTCTTGTTTGATCCTGCACAAGAAGGAATGTTGGGAGGCACCCAATCTCTGAATGACCGATTGACCTCTGGTTCCAACTACCAATATGGCTATTTGAACGACGCTGCGGCATCTCCCATTAACATGACTGATGTCAATATTAATGTCAAGGAATGTCAAGGCTGGCTCGAAGACTTGGGTGTTCCAGGACCCTTTGCCAAGGCCACTGCACCCGTCTCGGCCACGGTACTAGGAAGAACCAAGTTGATTGAAGATTCGGCACCCGGGGACATTCAACACGTCATTCTCAAGTTGCCAGAAGGCTTTCATTACGTCGAAGGACAATCGCTTTCGGTCATTCCTCCTGGAACCGACCCCAAGACTGGCAAGGCCAACAAACCACGTCTGTACAGCATTGCCTCGACTCGTTACGGTGATGTCTTGGATGGATCTACCGTCAGTCTCTGTGTGCGTCGGGCCGAATTTTTCGATCCCGTCAATGGCCTCAAAGACGATGCCAAAAAGGGCGTCTGCAGCAACTTTTTGTGCGATGCCACCCCTGGAACCACCTTTCAAGTGGCCGGTCCCGTCGGAAAGACCATGCTGCTCCCCGAAGATCCCACGACCGATATCATCATGGTCGCCACCGGAACGGGCATTGCCCCCTTTCGATCCTTTTTGCATCGACTCTTTGTCGAAGAAACCGTGGCCCGTCATCAATTTCAAGGACGCGCTTGGTTGGTCTTGGGAGTTCCCGTCACGGGCGGTCTGCTGTATCCTCAAGAATTTGCCGCCATGCAACGAAATGCCGTTGCTGGTGCTGCTGGTGCTGCTGGTGGGTCGTCGTTGGAAGTTACCTATGCCATTTCCAGAGAAATGCAAAATCAACAGGGTGGCAAGTTGTACGTCCAAGATGTCTTGGCGGAACGTGCCGATGATCTCATGGAACGATTGGACAATGGAGCACACATCTTCTTTTGTGGTCTCAAGGGGATGATGCCAGGCATTCTAGAGGCATTGGAACAAGTGGCAATCTCAAAGGGATTGGATTGGTCCACCAAACTCAAGGAATACAAGGCCAATCATCAGTGGCATGTGGAAGTGTACTAAAACTAAACTAAACTATACTAAACATTTTAAAATTGTTATGGATTGGATTGCATTGCATTGCATTTGTTTGGTACATTTTAATATTAGGCCATTTTCATTAATGAAATAGTATTAATATTAATAGCTAGTCCTTTACTATTTTAAAATAGAAATGCACTATCATCACTATTAATACCGGTAGACAAATGGAGTGCACGAATACTTGGCAGCAACGAAAGAAGTATGTTTTTGCTCTCATGACGTTATTATAACATTTATATAATAAAAATATGATTGATGGATGGCTTCTTCACACATCCGCCGAAGCTGCTGGTATTCCCATCTTGGCTTCATACACCAAGATACTATCCGTAATCTCCTTGATACGATTGTCCATAAAGGCAATGGATTGAACATTGCCCGGAGTGTGCTTGCTGACCAAGGGTAGCTTTTTCAAGTTCAAGTCAAATCGTTCCTTTTTCAAGCTTTCGACGGTAGTGGCCAGATTGGCATAGGACAACTTGTCTGCACATGCATTGGCAGCCTGAATGAGCATGGTTTCCAGCGCAGTATTACCATTGTCATTTGTACTAGAAGTAGTACTAGTTCGTCTCTTGCCGCCACCGCCATAATACGAATGGAAATTGCTTCCACCGCCACCGGCACCACCGACAACCTTGCCCAAGGTACTTCTTCTGGATGGGCTTGATACTAGATCCACTACTGTCTCCCCAATGGAGCGTTTGCGAGAGGAATTGTTGTGACTCCCGGAAATCGCCGCTACAGCCGCCAATCCTTCCGCAGTGGCAGATGCGGCGGCTAGATTGGCCAACTCGTCCGTACAAATCACTTCTCTGGGATGCAAAGCATTCACCAGAAGCTTGCGATAGTCCTTTTCCTTTTGGACAATGTACTGTTTGTCGGGCTCTACAAGAGGCCAGCGCTCTCGCAACATCTCCATCAGCTCATCGTTCGAACGATTGTTCTGATTCGGTTTGGCTTCTGGCTGACGACGCTTGATTTCCTGAACAATGATGTTCTTGTTGGGTTGAAAGACTTGCTTGTATCCCTTCTTTTTGAAAA